TGTTGCTCCCACACCTCGCTCAGCCAGTGAGCGGGAACCGGTCTGTATGTGGGATCCGAACCCTCGGCGGGAGCGCCATCGCGCTCCCAAGAGGCGCACTGTAGCAGTGCGCCACCGGGCCGGCCCTCTATTATAAAGTTTTTATAATAAAAAAGTTTAGTGAAATCACATAGAGGGAAAAAAAATGTATGAAACAGAGTGAAAGGGAAAAAAATAAAAACACTTTCTACCAATTTGATAAAGCATAGCATTACACAGCATTATATAAAAGAGATGAAAATGTAATTAGGTAAGCTTTCCAGTAGTTGAGGTAATGGTGACCATGTAAAACAAATCTCCCAACACGCCCTCTAAAAACTATACAGATCAACAATAACAATAAGGAAACGACACAAAACCCATGTGTCAGCAATACTAGAATACAGAGAACACCATCAGTCTCAAATTACTTATAATTTAAAAAAATCTACCAATTTCTACCAGAAGCAATTTCTTGAACTCCTACTCTGTTTGCTGAGATCAAGGTAAGGTTGAGAAAATACTACATGGACAAGATAAGAGGAAAACATAGGGTCTAAGATTAAATAAAATCATCTCTAGAGAGAGAAAGGCTACCCAAATATAAAAATACTGAAAAAAGAATCTTGGTAGATTAAAGCATTGTTTATAGGAAGGGACCTAAAATGTGTGTGGGATTGTAGAAGGCAGTCTTGGAAAGGCAATGCTTTTGAGGGAGGTGCCCTTTGGAAGCTGAGCAGTGAGGAGAAAAGAAAACAAGGGAAAAATTTATAATCCTCTAGGACAAAAAGAAATTTAAAAAATCAAAGGACACAAACCCTCTGTACACTCCCCTCCCACTCCAAGCCATCCATTAGAAAAAAACATACTTTGCTACTTTGACAAAAGAGAACACTCTTGAACTGGGATTCTCATAAACCATTCCACATGGCCACACTGTCCAAGAAATGCAGAGGCATTAAGTAGTTGTTATCTATACAAAGCTACTATACAAAAAGAAAACAGAAATGAGAATCAAAGCTCTTCAGCTCATAAAAATTTCTCTACCTGAAAGCAAACCATGAAGCAGAAGGACTGTAACATGTCACTCCAAACTGAAATAAATGTTCTCAAATAAAAAATTGGAGACATTAGGGGGTAGAGTGGGAAATATACCCCAAATAAGAGGTTTAAGAATTAAAAACAGAAATGATCAAAAACCAGTATATATGACACAAAGGTTGACTGATCTCAGGAAAGAAATAGAAGAAAAAGGCAAGATCATATCAGAAATAAAAACTAACAACTATAACTAAATAACTGGGTACCCACAGAAGAGCAGACTTGAATAAAAACCTAAGTAGGTTTACTGAACAACAACAAAAAAAGCAGGAAAACAATGAAGACAATAAAAATGAGATAAAGAAAGATGTAGAAAGGATCAGAGAGATTAAAATGGAAGATGGGGGGCCGGCCCGGTGGCGCACTGGAGAGTGCGCCGCTTGGGAGTGTGGTGGCGCTCCCGCCGAGGGTTTGGATCCCATGTGGAGACCGGTTCCCGCTCACTGGCTGAGCGCGGTGTGGGCACAACACCGAGGGTTGCGATCCCGTTACCGGTCAGTAAAAAAGATAAAAAGGAAAAAAAAAAAAAAATGGGAGATGGGTAAAGAAAATCCAACATAAATACAATTGGAATTGATAAATAAGAAAAACCTATTGGATCAAAACTAATATTTAAAACTGCAATTCAAGCAAACTTACAGAAGTAAAATAAAATAAAGATAAATCTTAGTAATACTATTTAAATTGGAATATTAAAAAAACAGGTTAATATTTAATATTTTACAAACTAAAAAAGAAAAAAAAAATCCCTAAGGGGCGGGGGTGGGTAACTAAAATGGAATACAAACAGTATCTGTGTTTCAAATGAATAAAAGCCACTCTGAAGCAGATTTTTAAAAAAAGCACCCCCCAAAACACCAAGCAACATTTCAACTATATTTTCTCAGACTAAAGACAAAAAGAGCTGTAAATAAATACTGAACTCTAGTTAGTCTTTTCACAGTAGTATAATCTAACAATTCTGAAATTACTTTCATTGTATTCTACAATTGAGGAAAACAGGAGCCAGGCTTCTCACTGTTGGAGAAGAAAACTAAAAATATGAAAAGGAGGAAGACTGTTAACAAGTCCTGCCGTATGGGGTAGGTGGCAAATTAAATATGATTGGAAATTCTTTGACACTTCCATTGAAAGATGGGATCTAATTCTCCTACTCTTTAATCTGTGCTGGCCTGAGTGATCCACTTATAACAAATAGAATGCAGAAAAAATGATGCTGCATGACAGGGCTCAGTTGAAAGAAGTCTTGTAGTTTCTGCCTTGGTTTCTTGGTTTTTTCCAACAGTGATTCCAAGGTCATTGAATGATCTGTGTCAGATCCCAACAACCATGCTGTAAAAAAGCCAACCTATATGGAGATTATAAATAGATAAATAAGAAATCACAATGTTTTGGGCCGGCCCCGTGGCGCACTCGGGAGTGTGCGGCGCTGGGAGCGCAGCAACGCTCCCGCTGCGGTTTGGATCCTATATAGGAATGGCCGGTGCGCTCACTGGCTGAGCGCGGTGCGGGTGACACCACACCAAGGGTTGTGATCCCCTTACCAGTCACGAAAAAAACAACAAAAAAAAGAAATCACAATGTTTTAAAAGAAATTATACCATGTTGAATAAATACAGACAGAGATGGTACAAACTATAAAGAGCTTTTGAAGTTTTGACCTTCAACAGATAGGAAGCAGACAGAGAGAGCTACCTAGCTGCAAACATGAGCCATTGCTTATGGAAAAGGAAGAATGGATCAGATGAAGGAACCCCTAGCCAGAAGAATCATTTTCAGGGAGAAGAACTGGGTCTTCATTAAGGAACTGGCCACATATGCCTGGCTGAATTTCAGAAATGCTGCTATGTACCACTCGTTTTCTCTCTTTTTGAATGGGAGTATACTATGGTTCTCCTACCTCTGGTTTCACCATTGTATGTAGTCTCTTTAGTTCATAGGTCTTCACACTGAGAGGAGCTATACTTATGAAACTGTACTCACAGTGTATCACCCACACCTTTGCTTGATTTGGAAGAAATACTGGGGGCCGGCCTGTGGCTCACTTGGGAGAGTGTGGTGCTGACAACACCAGGTCAAGGGTTAAGATCCCCATACCGGTCATCTTTAAAAAAAAAAAAAAAGAAGAAATACTGGACCTGAGTCTGATGTCATAAGGAAAAAGTCTTTTGGGATGAGTGTATATTTTGCATGTGGGAGAAATGTAAATAATTTGTGACCAGAGGGCAGACATTAAAGATGACTACAAATTATTTGACACTTCTCCCATGTAGAAGTTGGGTTCTAATTCCCTTTCCCTTCAATACAGGTCTTAATAACTCTCCAGTAACCAAGATTATGCAGTGGCAATGACACTGCATAACTTCTGAGGTTAGTTCAGAAGATTTCCTGCATTTTCTGTTTTGATCTCTTGAAATGCTCACTCTCTGAACATTCCCTCTCAAAACGTAGTTGCTATACCACTGGAGACCCAAGTCACATGGAAAGGCCATATGTAGTTGTTCTAGTGGAAAGCCATAGTGAACAGCCAATTACCAACTGCCAACCATATGAATGAGCCATTTTGGACATCCAGCCCAGTTGGCCTTCAGATGACTATAGCTCCAGTCAACCTGACTGCAATTGTATGAAACTCCCAATGAGAACCACCCAGCTAAACCTTTCAGAATTCCTAATCTATAAAAACATGAGTACAATAACTGTTTTAAGCTAGTAAGTTGGAGTAAAACTTTGTTATCCAGCAATATGTACCTGAGACAAACCAGAATTGGAGTTACCAGTATGAGCTCATGGCCTTTAATAATTTACACACAAATATAGAAAATTATACAGACATACGTGAGCTTTGTCTGCTGAGAGAACCTAGAAGCAATGGTAATTCCCTAATGGAAAACGTACACAAAGAATAATAATGATTTGTAATGATGAACATGCTAACAATAGTGATTTGATTATCACATATTGCACACAAATACTGACAGTCAACTCTGTACCCCATAAATATGTATAATCAATTATGTTTCAATTAAAAAAAAAAAAAAAAGAACTCCGTAGCAATGTGCATACCTAGCCCCTAAAACTTGGTTTCTAAATACCACTGCAAGGCAAGAAAAATGCAAGCTGAACCTGGAACATCTTTTTGTGCCACAATGCCAGATATTAGTTTTATTGCTTCTCAGCTCCAAATCCATCCTTCATTGTCCTGTTGGAGATAATAAAGCTAAATCCTATAAACATTTTCTCCTTTGCCAGGTTAAGCTTTGTCAATAGAGGGCTCTAGAAGGACTATAGGAGGAAAGGATTCTTCTTACTGGTTTTGGTATGTCTTTTTCTTTGTTCCTGCAGTGCTTGGTCAATAAGCTGGAAAGACAGTGGTGCTCATTCCAGTGAGTTACCCTACGGACAGATTCCTAGCCAGTTTCACAGGCACTAGAGCTGGCTTCCAAGCAAGTTCAACAGCACACTCCAGGCAGCTTTCTGACAGTTTCGTTGCACTCCAGTGGGTAGTTTCTGCTTGCCAGCCTTGGCTGCAGCATCATTGTGAACTTATCTGGTATCCAATGGATCACAGCTTTACCCTCTCCAATAAAGTCTGAATCCCATCCACTGGGGGTGGTGTGGGGTGTGAGATGGACCATATCTCAAATGTATTCCTTCCCATATTTTTTAAAGTTCTGTTGATCCCATAGAGATCAACCCATTACTGGTTACTAATTCTTTATAATAAACTTTCCTGTTTAAATTACTGGGTGGTTTCTGTCTCCTAATGATTAGAACCTGATAGATACAGCCAGAAAGTAAGAAAATACTTCAAGAATGATGAGTACAGGTCGAAAAGACATAGGAAACAGCCTGCAGGGGCTCCTAGTCAAATTGAGGCCTTTTGAGCACCAAAATAAGTAATTATATTAATGGATTATAATATATTAAATAAGTATGAACCCATAAGTTCATACTGATATAAATAAATTTAATAAATAAATAAATGGAGAAGGAAACGCTTTGCCTCATAGTAAAACGCCAATAAATAAATGTAGAAGGAATAATGAAGTTAGAAAATCATCATTTGATAAATATCATAGAAATAACTGAGGCAAAAATCACCAGTGAATGCTAAAATGAGTATATGAAAGTTTAATAAAGAATAGGATATCCACCACAGTCTCAAAGTATCTACTACCCAAATACTAATTACGAAGGGCAAAATAATAACTTTAGAGTGAAGAAACTGGCAGAAACTACTTCCTAAACCAGATGATAAAAGTTAACATCAATAATGGGACAAACTGACATCATGTGGTTCCTGGTATGATGTACTAAAAACGATACACATAATTGTTGTGTCACTTCAGGTAAAAAAAATGAATAACCTCAGTATAATCCTAACTGGTTTCCTTACTTGCTCTCTTATTGGCAATATTTAAGCCACACCTTTACTCAAAATACTGCAGGGAATATCTTTACTGTTTTAAGTAGTCTGGAAAGTAGAGATGGTGAGAACCAGACCATGTATCTTAGTCTGTAAGGACGGAAGCCCTGTATTGAGAATGGCTGAGCAAATAAGACAGAAGTATGGGTCCCTGGATACACCACTGATTCCCCATATCAGCTATGTTTGAACTTGTCTAATAAACTTTTCTAATTTAAAGTCACTTATTTTGGCCACTGTTATTGCAGCTCCGTTTGTATCCTTAAAAATATACAGTCTAACTCTATAGTCTTGGCTCTTCCACTTACTGATTATTTCCTTGGGTTATTCACTTGATTTAAGTCTCATTTATTTATTTATTCAAATATTTACTAAATATATACTAGAGGCTGAGTACTGTGCTAGGTACTACAACAATGGAAACAGCTATAACTTTATCCCTACCAACTCTAAGAACTACTAATCTAATGGGAAAAGGTAAGTCTTAGTGGTTTCATCAATAAATTGAAGATAACTTTCACACTGTCCACCTGACAGAATTGTAAAGATCAATTAAGGTAATTGCAATGTGAACACCATTCAAAAAAGAAAGATGGAAATTTACTTCTTAGCTAATTCTGTCTATATATGACAAGAGTGTAGCAATGAAGTTTAGAAGTAGGCAAGCAATTTCAGAATATTCGTCTGGTAGAAAAACTACCATATGAATGAAAAAATACACTAGTTCCAGAGGGTAGTACAATGATGCAATGACAGAAATTTCAAGACAAAATTTAGCCTCATTTTTGTAATACTTAAGAGCATCCAAGAATAGAACAACCAAATTTTTGAGGCTGTAAGCTCCTTGTCAATGATGGTGTTCAAATGTGGAGACCAGATGTTGGGGATGCTGAGGAAAGAACTTTTTGAAGAGGGTGTGGGAAGGCAGAGCTCAATGACTTCCCTGTACTTCAATGAACCTTAAAACTGTCTTTGTTTCTTAGGAGGTCTTTTTCTCTTTTCAGCAGGCCTTGTGTCATAACAGATGCATTATTTTTATTCACAAATTGTGAATATGTACTTTTGTGTCCACAGAAATAAACTTATGTGATATTACATGTTTTTGTTCTGATATCTAAAGTATAAGGTGATAACATTACAAAACATAAAAGTTAAAAAATTATTTGTTTGGAGGGCCGGCCTGTGGCTCACTCGGTAGAGTGCGGTGCTGATAACACCAAGGCCACGGGTTCGGATCCTATATAGGGATGGCCGGTTTGCTCACTGGCTGAGCATGGTGCTGAAAACACCAAGCCAAGGGTTGAGATCCCCTAACCGGTCATCTTTTTTAAAAAAAAAATTATTTGTTTGGGCTGGCCCGGTGGCGCACTGGAGAGTGCGCTGCTTGGGAGCGCAGCGGCGCTCCCGCCGAGGGTTCGGATCCCATGTGGTGACTGGTTCCCGCTCACTGGCTGAGCGCGGCGCGGGCGCAACACCGAGGGTTACAATCCCATACCGGTCAGTAAAAAAGGCAAAAAAAAAGGAAAAAAAAATATTTGTTTGCTTACCTTTGCTGATGAAACAATCTTCTTGGCCTGGTGTCTTGATAAATGATCAATTGTCCTTATTAGCACTTCAGGATTTGCATTAGCTAAATGCACTAGACTTTTGTAACCTGCATTGTACAACTGTTTTGCTCGACCCTGAAAAATGTTAGGAAAATCAGTAGGATAAGAATTTGGGATTAGGAAAAAAAAAAAATTAAGAGTCTTAATGAAGAGAAAAAATTTCACAGGCAAGAGACAGAAATAAACTAAGATAACAAAGTATATATGAAGAGATAACACATCAGAATCCTGAGGAATTTTAAAAGATGCATTTGGTTCCAGTCTGACTGCAATATTGCTTTCTGTGCCACTCAAGTCAATTAATGTGTGCTGCCATCAGAAATGAGAAACCCATTAACGCACATAGGTCAGTGTCATTATTTCATATCCACAAGCAAAATGTTCTAGTCCAACATTCTTAAAATGCTCTCATCATCTACTCAGGGTAGAACACTGGTGTGTGTGGGAGTGTGTGTGTGTGTGTGCGTGCGTGCGTGCATTTATGTTTCCTAAGTAGAACTTCTCGGATTCAAGAAATGAATGATAAAGAATAAACTGAACTGTAGGTTTGGCTGAAACTAGAAAGCTGAGAACCAATTGAGGACACTTTCTTCTCGTTCTCTTAAAAAATGGAAATGACCCTTGCTAACACCACTACTTGAAACAGGCACTGAGTCCAAGCTGACAGAAGGAAATTCTTCACTGGGGTGGAGGAAGGAAGAGATGCTAAAGACAAGTGGTAGCGCGCATGTACTTGGGGAAATCCACCCCCACCCCTACTATTATTTTTCTCACAACTGAGATTTTCTATTAGTTATGCTTCCCAATTAACAATGAATTTCTGGGAGGTCATGGCACCAATTTATTTTTTTTTTAAAAAAGGACTCCTATAACAAATGAGCAATAAATTTCCTGCTATCACTTGCCCTGTAGAAAGACTTCAAAAAACAGTAAAACCTGACTTTTCCATTAGTTAAAGTAATCTTGGTCAGGAAACTGTAAAGCTACTGACCTCTAAAACTCCAGTCACTTCCATGAGAGGGATTAGCTCTGCCTTTACACAGTAAGTCAGCTTCTTGGTAAGTTCTACCAAAAGGGCTCTATAAACCCAAAATTCCTCAAGCTCCTGCAAAACACAAAAAAATATATAAAATTAAATTTTTGTAAGTTATTTCGAAGTTGAGTTTGTGTGGTAGTGGACTCAGAAAGCATGTTCCCTTATGTAAGTTATGGAACTTGAGTTAAGCCAGAGATGAAAGATTATTCCAAGCAAAATTATTATGAGGGGGCCGGCCCGGTGGCGCACTGCTACAGTGCGCCGCTTGGGAAGCGCAGCAGCGCTCCCACCGAGGGTTCGGATCACACATACAGACCGGCCGCTCACTGGCTGAGCGAGGCATGGGAGCAACACTGAGGGTTGCGGTCCCGTTGCCGGTCCAGGTCCGGTACGGGGGCAACACTGAGGGTTGCGATCCGTTGCCGGACACGGAAAAAGACAAAAAAAAAAATTATTATGAGGAAACATGGTGGAGACCCTGAGGGATTTGATAACTTGTTTGAGATGAGGAAAAAGATTGAACATTGAAAAATAAGTCAATAAGAGAGTTCTATTCATTTTTATCAAAACATCAGGAAGTGAATGCAGTCTTTCTTTCCCAAGCGACTAAAAATAATTCCTAGATATGGGAAATTATCCCAAAGACAAAATATTAAGTACGGAAAGATTCAAAAGCAAGATGATATTCAATGCAGCATTAAAAAAATAAAAATACCGGAAGCCACAAATCAGTAATTATCAAAGCTGGGTAGGTAAATGGGAGTTCATCATACTATTTTGTCTTCTTTTATATGTTTGAAACTTTCTATAGTTTTTTTTTTTTTTTTTAAATTTTAAAAAAGGGTCCTTTTCTAGCTTTTGGGTATCATTGTGAAAGTATGTGATGCATGGAACAGCATTAGCTAGCCATCTTGTGACCATTAAGAAAATAGTCAATGTTTGGATACCCTTACCAGCCAGCTGCCAAAAAAAGAAAAAAAAAAAAAAGAAAGTAGTCAATGTAATAGAGACGGAAAGATTTCAGAATAAAAGAAGAAAAGAAAACCTTGAACAGAACTACTGAATCAATCAACCCTGGAACTGCCTTAGTTCTGGCTTTCTTGTTACTTAAGATAATCATTGTTCCTTATTGTTTAAACGTCTGTGAGATTTTTCTGTTACGTGTCATTAAAAGCATCTTAACTAATATGACTTAACTAATATTACTGTATACTATTTTATACCATTTATATAACTTTTTAAAAGGAAAAATCACTTTAAAATATTAAAAATACATTAATGAGAGCACAAGTTGTCAACTAAGTTTTTCTTAGGATCAGCCATCAAATTATAGTTGTTTTCAGGTTCTACATATAGATTCTTTTACTTGAACATAAGGCTCAAAAGTTCTGATAGTCCTAAATAAAACAAAGGGAAAGAGTATCAGGGAGAACGTCTTTAAATATGAAGAACAAAAACATAGAACACTTAAGAAAATACATTTTATTTGTATTTTAGGCTAGTTTAATTTTTGTCTATTGCTTAACTAGTATGTGCTCAGAGAATGTAAGCTAACTTTTAAAAATCAGCATTAAGTAAAATATTTAAAAGGTATATTCGCTAAAATAATTATCACTCAATCGAAAGCCAGGTATATTTGGATTATTTACTCCCTTCATTAGCACATATGATAGAATTAATTGCCATATACTTACACAGAATATGGAGGTTTAAGACGAAAAAAAATGAAGTAAATTTTAAATTTAGAAAATAGAATTCATGAGAAAAAATTTTTAAAAATTGAGTATGGAAACAACGTAGAAAGGATTATTATGCCACCCAACAAGAAGAAATTTAAATGCAACAAAAATAGCTTACAGTATAAATCAATCAAAAAAATTATCTGGGTAGAAAAGCCTGGTAAGCTTTCCTATGTTGAGGAAATTCCAAAGGCTTTTAAAAAATAAAGTGTTACAAATAAATTCACTCACACACACACACACACACACACAAAACCAAAAAACAAAAAACTGGGGGGTGGGTGGGGAAGAAGATATAACAACTACAATTTCTTTGAAGGTGTTACAACAAGCAAACGGAAAGGACATTCTTGGGTGGGAGGGGGGAGAGGGAGGAGGGAGGGAGGTTTCGGTGATGGGTCATAATAATCAACCACATTGTATATTGACAAAATACAAAAAAAAAAAAGTGTTAAAATAAACAAATCTATTGCAAATGCATATGGCCAAAATATAAAAGTTTTCTTCTTGAATTGTTTTATGAAATAAACATTTGATGTAGAAACCTAAAGTAGCTAGCTGCCTCACACTGGAAGCAAATATGATAAATCACAATACTGTGGTAATCAAGAAAATATGGTACTAAGTAGTCACATGGTAGCTGTTGGATACTGGTAACTTATTAACCAAGCACATTTATCACTAATAAGAAAAACATTCATATGGAATCTACATCATTGGAGAAAGGTTGTTTTTAAGAATTCCACAAAACTGAAACTACTAATGGTGGTTTGAAAAGTAGGGATAACTAGACACTTTCTACTTATTCATTATGTATTTTAATTGATTCAGTTCAGTAATTTTTATATCTTTATCATAACCATAAAACAAAGCAGACAAAAACAAAGATATACCTTAAATAAATCTTGAATGCTTTGAAACAATAGAATAAGTCAACAATGAAAAAATCCTGACATACTAACTGGTTTATGAGTTTAGTAACAGTTCAAACAAGAATATGCACAAAGTATATATCATATATTTAATGGAATTACCTCACAGAAGTGTAACACACAAGCTGAGAATGAGGCAGCTCCAGTGAGAAGACTTTGGATATATCCTCGAGGCAGATTAAACTTTTCAGACACACTCCAAATGTTGGTCTCTTTGAGCAAAGTATAAAGAACAAAAGAAAGGTATAGTCTGTTGACAACGTCCTTGTCCACCTTCTAGAAAGACACAATCAAATACATTTATATACTAGAACTGCTAAAAATATATGTTACATTCAATTGATCAAAAAGTAAAAAGATAAGCTGTATCACAGGAGAGCAAGAATAGAATGATTCCATAAAAACAAAACTGATTTCTAACATACATACTTTAGATTAATTCAATGATCACTTTTCCAACTATAAAAAAGAGATATGCCAAATTGTTTCCAATTTAAATTAAACTTCCTCCTATAGGGAGTATAGTGATTTGAACTGTGCCCCCCCACCAAAAAAATGTTCAAATCCTAAGCCCTGTTACTTGTGAATGTGACCTTATTTGGAAATAGGATCTCTGCAGATGTAATTAGGTAAGGACCTCTAGGTGAAATCATCTTGGATTTACAGTGAGCCCTAAATTCAATGACTGGTGTTCTTAAAAGAGAAAGAGAGGGCATAAAGATACACAGAGAAGAAGGCAATGTGAGGATGGAGGCTGGAATTGGAGTGATGCGTCTACAAGCCAAGAAATGTCAAGGATTGCTGGCAACCACCAGAAGCTAGGAGAGAGGCACGGGATGGTTTCTTCCTCAGACTCCTGAAGGAACCAAGGCAGCTGATACCTTGATTTTGGACCTCTGGACTCCTGAACTGTGAGAGAATGAATTTTTGTTGTTTTAAGCCACCTAGTTTAATGCAATTTGTTATGGCAGCACTAGGAAATGATTACAGAGAAGGAGGGAGCTGGGGAGATCTTTACTTTTACTGTGGTATTAATAAATTGTATATGTGTGTGATTATGATTATAAATTAGACAAATGCATTTTAGATAAATATGTTAATAAGCTTGTCTATATTGTAAACTAAGAATAAAAGTTACATTCTGTAATATCTACATGGTCATGATAAATAATTAGTGATTCCAAAGTTAAAAGACTGAGATAGAAAAATACTTCTTGTAGTTGACAATTTCTATTCTGCGTATCTACTTTTTTGCCTGTGGTGACTAGTGACTATATTTTGCATAAAGTATTTCATAGCTAGTACAAAGCTAACTTAGAAATTAGCTCACACTTAAAATGAGGAGAAAAAAAGAATGAACTTGAAAGAGAAGAAGTAGATATAAAATGTAAAACTATATCCTCTACTACAGTAACAGAATGTTTGAGATGAGAACCTGGGGTGACATATTGAAGGTTGTATAAGTTACAGATTCTGCACATTGATATTGGATCACTCTTTTTAAAAGCATTAAGCTGAAAAAGCATGATAGTTGAATAGCAAGTAGAAAAAGACAGCTTTTTAATTTCCCTATTTTAGTGCACCTTTATTATTAACTATAAATTGAGTTAATGCAGGTTTTGCTTAGAATGTATTTCCTAAGCCAAGAAAAATGATATAATTATTAAAAGGCAAGATAAGATGCTTCATGCTAATTTCAAGATCTTTTGGAAGAAATGTTTTAAAAAAGGGGGGTCCTTTTTCAATGTGGAGAAATCAATTAATTTTATGTAAATATCATGCTCTCTAGAGCTCCAAATCATATTTCCAAAACATTAAACTAGTAACTAATCTATTTGTGCAGTGGATTGAACTGTGTCCCCCCAAATTTAATGTGTTCGAGGCTTGGTCCCCACTGTGACAATATTAAGAGGGTGGGAAATCCTATTATGGTAATTGAAAGGTGGGGTCTTGAAGAGGTGATTAGATTGTAGGATCATGCCTTAGTGAATGGAGTAATAACGGTGGTTGGGGCATGGCTTTAAAAGGAGAGCACCATGGGAGAGTGTTCCTCTATCTTTGCTTCCGCTATCTTGCAGTGTCACCACCAAAGAAGACGCTCACCAGATTTGTTCCCTAGACTGTGGATTTCCCAGCCTCTGAAACTGTAAGAAATAAATTTAGTTTTCTTTATAAAATACCCAGTTCTGTGTATTTTGTTATAAGCAATAGAAACAGACTAATACAATTTGTAATTAAGATAAATTCATACCAATACTATTCTAAATATTTAAGAAACATTATTGAGGCTTCTGGTGAAGATGGCAGAATAGACGGTCCCCAGCATCACTCTCTCCCACAAATCAACCAATTTACAACTATTAAAAAGGGACGACAGGGCCGGCCCGTGGCTCACTCGGGAGAGTGCGGTGCTGATAACACCAAGGCCCCGGGTTCGGATCCCACATAGGGATGGCCGGTTCGCTCACTGGCTGAGCGTGGTGCTGACAACACCAAGTCAAGGGTTAAGATCCCCTTACCGGTCATCTTTAAAAAAAAAAAAAAAAAGGGACGACAGCCAAGCTGGGGCTGCTAGAGCTCAGGGGAAGGGGAAGAGAGACCTATGGAGTTCATGAAGGCAGGAAAAGCCATAATAAGAAAAGAAAGGACAGCTTCCACCATTCTGAATCCTGACCACTTCAAGTCTGGAGCTGGTCAGCGCATGGAGCAAGAGCTGACAAAAGCTGCAGCTGTCCCCTTTGTATGAAGTTGCTTGGAGGCGACAGGTGAAAAGAGGGCCTTGGTGGCCCTCAGTCCAGCAAGACCACTAAAAGGGTTCCTGTGGACCCACACAGAAGCGAGGAGCCACAACAACTGAAAAAAAGGAGCCACTCAGAGGCCAGTGAGTCATCACATGAGGGACCTGCGCATGACCTATCCTATGGGAAGTGTTTGGAGCATGGGTGGTGGGGGAGACGGGCCCACTGGGGGAACACTGGAGCACAGCATGGACAGTGGATCTGCCCTCCAACTAGCACAGGACCACTTAGCGGACCCTGGTGGGGAATACAGATCTGCAGGGGATGAAGCTTGCTGAAAAGTCTCAGGCCCAGACCAGAGTTTCCACACAACTCTCGTGTATCGGAATTCACAAGACCCCGAAGTACATACAATGTCAACAAAACCCGAGCTGCACAAAAAGCCTTCCCCAGGGAATCAGCAGCAAAGCAGCAATTTAGCTCAACCATAGGGCTCAAATACTGGTCCCCACAGGAAGTTCCCCCATTTTAGAAATAAGCAAAGGACCACAAAGTAGTTCCAATGCAGAGTTTAAGTGGTGGGAACTGCAAATAAGCCAACACGGAACTGAAAGAAAAAACAAAATACCCACAAACCAGAAAAAAAGTTTTGATATTAACTAGTAAAGGTCTCACATCACCAAAAAACACCTATAAAACCTAGAAGGAATGAAAGCCCCCTGGGCTTCCAAACCAGGGAGGGGGGAGGGCCGGGGTCCTCAGCCATGCCCCCTGATATCTGCAACCAGCCAGTGACAACCACTGAGCCACCAAAGGAAGTGCCCCGGTCTTCCAAACCAGGGAGGTGGGGGACTAAGCCTTGTCCTTCCAACACCCAGAGCCAGCCCAGCAATGACCACTGAGCTGCAGAAGAAAGCACCCCAGGCTCCCAGGCCAGGGTGGTGGGGGACTTCGGGCCTCAGCCATATCTCCTCAACACCTGCAACCAGCCCAGTGACAACCACTGAGCTGCCGCAGGAAGTGCCTTGGGCTCCTGAGCCCAGGCAGTGGGGGACCGAGGGCTTTGGTCATACTTCCCTGAACCTGCAACCAGTCCAGCGACAACCACCGAACCACTGCTGGAAGCCCCCTGGTCTCCTCAGCCAGGGAGGTGGGGGTGCCAAGGGCTTCAGCCACACCCCCCTGACATCTGCATCCAGCCTAGCAATGACCAAGCCACTGCTGGAAGTTCCCTGATCTCCCCTGCAGTACTGTTGGGGGTGCCATGGGCCTCAACCATGGCCCCCATTCCTCCTCCTCCCACCTTATTTCCTTCCTCCTTCTCCTCTCCCCCTCCCCCACCACTGCTCTGCAACATTATCTTTGAATGTTAAAAAAATATATATATTAATAAACTTCTAAAAATAAATCACACACATGCAAAAGAAACATTGACTATTACACAAAATGTAACAAAAATAAATTCTGAATTCAAGTTTTAAAAGATGCAGTATTCTAATAAGATTTTGTATATGTTTATTATTTGGTAATTAGTTCCCCAAATTAGTATGATTTTGTTTTTATTTTACATTTAGAGTTTAATGCAAAAGGTTTAAGAAGTATTTTTATTCAACATTTTGAAGGTCTAATCAACACAGTCATTTCTGAGGTAAAAGACCTAAAATTTGTGATAATGTGAATGTTTAAGTATTACCCAGATATTTAAAATTTTATGATACAGTGATGCATGAGACAGCTGTACCATTTAATCCAAATGTAAGTAAACGCCATCTTCTATTTTTCAAAATAAAATCAGTATTGTCTATGTAAATTTAAAAGATATAGGGGGAAAATGACAGGTAAGGAAATTAGGTTTCAATGTAAATTAGATTACCAAGGAAAATTAAAAATGAAAAAAGTGTATGTATCATGAGGAGGAAAATGATTCTTTTTTAAGGCTAGCCAGTAGAGGAAAATGATATTAATTTAAGGGACCTGAAGGTATGGCTACCAATAATTATTTCCACTTCTCTTAAAGTTAGTATATGTATTCATGAATGTTGACTACATTTTAAAACATTAAAATATAAGATACCATACAAAATTAGCTCTTTCACTTCAACCTTCTAAAATGCTTTATGTACTGCAAGTACTATCCTGGGAGTTCTTTGAAGATGACAAAAACAACACAACAAAAACCAAGATGTGTCCTATCTTAGAATTTCTTATACCAAGCAGAATGCCTAAAATCAAGTTTCTGGAAAATAAATGTTCTCCCTTCAACAACTTATTTCAGGATTATATAATATAAAAACTATTTATAAATATTTTATAATTTTTATAATATAAGCCATAAGTAGCCCAGGAAAAATAGATTAATAAGGTTTACCTTTTCTTATGATAAAAGCTTTACATGTGCATGACAGAACATTTCAGAGACACAAAGATGTAAAAAAAAAAAAAAAAAGGCCATCACACCACCCAGAAATAAATACTTTTTAAAAAAATTATACATTTTTGGTGCTTAGATTAATAGCAAAACGGTAATTATAGTAAAGGAAAAAATGTGAAACAAAAAGACTAAAAAAGATAAAAAAAGATTAAATCAATAAAGGACATGATATAATGGTATTAATTTTGTTGAATGAACTTAGATTATTATTCAGGAAGAAAAAATTATTACAATACCTTCTTTACAGCTTGTCCTGATGCTTTCTTCCAAATAAAGCTTTCAGAGACTCCAAGAAGAGCAGCTACATTTTGTTCTGCTGGACTGAGTTGGCTAAACTACATAGAAAAAGAGTAAATACACAGAAAAACCAAATTGTAGCTTTTAAAAATCTGTCATTTGCACCCAGTCTAGTATTTTTCATGCCATATTTTCATGATATCAATGGATAAGAAAAACATCATCAATTTATTTACAAATATCACAAGTTTTAAAAATGTATTAGACTATAACATACTTCAGTAGAATTACTTAAAGACATGGCCACAAGCACTGGTTTCCATTGACTACGTGATTATGCTTGATACTAGAGATGGCTGGGGGGAGGGAGAAGAGGGAAAGGTTTTTGAAAGTAACTGAATTACATAGAACCACTAAAAAACTTAATGATTTAAAAATATGACATTAAAAAGAAAGTTCATTTCCTGTGATTAAAAGCTATATACTGTTTACAGTAAAATCATAATACACTGTACTCCAGCACTTGGTTTTATAACAAGTAGGGCCTGTTCCACTTTGCTACTGGCTATAAAATAAACATTCCTTATCAGGTATTAACATCACTAGATTTGGTGTATTATTATGCTTGCCTCTGATAGAGCTTTCACATAATTAAATTTTAATCATCAGAGGTGGCTTTCACTATTTTCTTTACATTCTAGGCATTATAATATACAGTGGCCACTAAATCATAACAGTACTGTCTTTGGGGGAATAGGACCAGGGATTATCCTTTTTTCTTTTTTGCCCCTTTATTTTTTTGATAATGAACATGTTTATATTTAACAGAAAAGTAATATTTAGGTTAAACAAACTAAAAATGCTATTGTCATTTTACTGTTGTTAAAAACTGAAAGACAAATGGCCCAATTCCAGATATATTTTATTTTTTTATTTTAATTTTAATTTTTTTTTTCCCTTTTTGTCTTTTTTTTCGTGACCGGCAACGGATCGCAACCCTCAGTGTCGCGCCCGTACCGGACCGGGACCAGCAACGGGATCGCAACCCTCGCTGTTGCGCCCGCACCTCGCTCAGCCAGTAAGCGGGAACCGGTCTGTATGTGGGATCCGAACCCTTGGCGGGAGCGCCACCGCGCTCCCAAGCGGCGCACTGTAGCAGTGCGCCACCGGGCCGGCCCCAGATATATTTTAGTAGACAAAAAAACTGAATAATCACTTGACAGAAGTCATATGATCATTAATAAGCTAAGTAGCCTAAATTGAAAAATCTTATATTCTCACCTGCCTGAAGTATATCATCCAATCAGGGACACACTGAAAAGCCAGATCATAGGGAGTTGTTAGGTAGATTAAATGAAGAAGGCTTTCAAGCACAAGTCCTTCAAGACCTTTCTTCAAGTCTCTGTAGAGAATGTCACAATAAGCTAAATCTATAGTTCCTAAAAGAAAAACACAAATACTCTGCTTTCATAATCACCAAAGAGGGAAAAGAGGTGATTTTAAATAAACTCTTGTTTAGAAGTTACCTAATATAGCAAAAAATTTTGAAAATCTCTTACTATCTAATCTCTTTATTTATTTATTTATTTATTTATTTATTTTTATTTTGTCAATATACACTGTATATGATTATTATGGCCCATCACCGACACCTCCCTCCCTCCTCCCTCTCTCCCCTCCCCCCCAAGAATGTCCTTTCCGTTTGCTTGTTGTAACAACTTCATGAAAGTATAGTTGTTATATCTTCTTCCCCACCCCACCCCCCCGGTTTTTTTTTGTGTGTGTGTGTGTGTGTGTGTGTGNAAAAAAAAAAAAAAAAGGCCATCACACCACCCAGAAATAAATACTTTTTAAAAAAATTATACATTTTTGGTGCTTAGATTAATAGCAAAACGGTAATTATAGTAAAGGAAAAAATGTGAAACAAAAAGACTAAAAAAGATAAAAAAAGATTAAATCAATAAAGGACATGATATAATGGTATTAATTTTGTTGAATGAACTTAGATTATTATTCAGGAAGAAAAAATTATTACAATACCTTCTTTACAGCTTGTCCTGATGCTTTCTTCCAAATAAAGCTTTCAGAGACTCCAAGAAGAGCAGCTACATTTTGTTCTGCTGGACTGAGTTGGCTAAACTACATAGAAAAAGAGTAAATACACAGAAAAACCAAATTGTAGCTTTTAAAAATCTGTCATTTGCACCCAGTCTAGTATTTTTCATGCCATATTTTCATGATATCAATGGATAAGAAAAACATCATCAATTTATTTACAAATATCACAAGTTTTAAAAATGTATTAGACTATAACATACTTCAGTAGAATTACTTAAAGACATGGCCACAAGCACTGGTTTCCATTGACTACGTGATTATGCTTGATACTAGAGATGGCTGGGGGGAGGGAGAAGAGGGAAAGGTTTTTGAAAGTAACTGAATTACATAGAACCACTAAAAAACTTAATGATTTAAAAATATGACATTAAAAAGAAAGTTCATTTCCTGTGATTAAAAGCTATATACTGTTTACAGTAAAATCATAATACACTGTACTCCAGCACTTGGTTTTATAACAAGTAGGGCCTGTTCCACTTTGCTACTGGCTATAAAATAAACATTCCTTATCAGGTATTAACATCACTAGATTTGGTGTATTATTATGCTTGCCTCTGATAGAGCTTTCACATAATTAAATTTTAATCATCAGAGGTGGCTTTCACTATTTTCTTTACATTCTAGGCATTATAATATACAGTGGCCACTAAATCATAACAGTACTGTCTTTGGGGGAATAGGACCAGGGATTATCCTTTTTTCTTTTTTGCCCCTTTATTTTTTTGATAATGAACATGTTTATATTTAACAGAAAAGTAATATTTAGGTTAAACAAACTAAAAATGCTATTGTCATTTTACTGTTGTTAAAAACTGAAAGACAAATGGCCCAATTCCAGATATATTTTATTTTTTTATTTTAATTTTAATTTTTTTTTTCCCTTTTTGTCTTTTTTTTCGTGACCGGCAACGGATCGCAACCCTCAGTGTCGCGCCCGTACCGGACCGGGACCAGCAACGGGATCGCAACCCTCGCTGTTGCGCCCGCACCTCGCTCAGCCAGTAAGCGGGAACCGGTCTGTATGTGGGATCCGAACCCTCGGCGGGAGCGCCACCGCGCTCCCAAGCGGCGCACTGTAGCAGTGCGCCACCGGGCCGGCCCCAGATATATTTTAGTAGACAAAAAAACTGAATAATCACTTGACAGAAGTCATATGATCATTAATAAGCTAAGTAGCCTAAATTGAAAAATCTTATATTCTCACCTGCCTGAAGTATATCATCCAATCAGGGACACACTGAAAAGCCAGATCATAGGGAGTTGTTAGGTAGATTAAATGAAGAAGGCTTTCAAGCACAAGTCCTTCAAGACCTTTCTTCAAGTCTCTGTAGAGAATGTCACAATAAGCTAAATCTATAGTTCCTAAAAGAAAAACACAAATACTCTGTCTTTCATAATCACCAAAGAGGGAAAAGAGGTGATTTTAAATAAACTCTTGTTTAGAAGTTACCTAATATAGCAAAAAATTTTGAAAATCTCTTACTATCTAATCTCTTTATTTATTTATTTATTTATTTATTTATTTATTTATTTATTTATTTATTTATTTATTTATTTATTTATTTATTTATTTATTTATTTATTTATTTATTTATTTATTTATTTATTTATTTATTTATTTATTTATTTATTTATTTATTTATTTATTTATTTATTTATTTATTTATTTATTTATTTATTTATTTATTTATTTATTTATTTATTTATTTATTTATTTATTTATTTATTTATTTATTTATTTATTTATTTATTTATTTATTTATTTATTTATTTATTTATTTATTTATTTATTTATTTATTTATTTTTATTTTGTCAATATACACTGTATATGATTATTATGGCCCATCACCGACACCTCCCTCCCTCCTCCCTCTCTCCCCTCCCCCCCAAGAATGTCCTTTCCGTTTGCTTGTTGTAACAACTTCATGAAAGTATAGTTGTTATATCTTCTTCCCCCCCCCCCCCCCCTCCTTTGGATATATTCCCAGCAGTGGGATAGCTGGGTCATATGGTAGATCTATCTGCAATTGTTTGAGGAACCTCCAAACCATTTTCCATAGGGGTTGCACCATTGTGCATTCCCACCAACAGTGTAAGAGAGTTCCTTTTTCTCCGCATCCACGCCAGCATTTATCTTTCAGTGTCTTTTGGATTTTTGCCATCCTAACTGGGGTGAGATGGTATCTCAGTGTGGTTTTGATTTGCATTTCCCGGATGCTGAGTGATGTTGAGCATTTTTTCATATGACTGTTGGCCTTTTGTATATCTTCTTTAGAGAAATGCCTGCTTAGCTCTTTTGCCCATTTTTTGATTGGGTTGCTTGTTTTTTTCTTGTAAAGTTGTTTGAGTTCTTTATATATTCTGGATATTAGTCCTTTGTCGGATGTGTATTTTGCAAATATTTTCTCCCATTCTGTTGGTTGTCTTTTAGCTCTGTTAATTGTTTCTTTTGCTGTGCAGAAGCTTTTTAGTTTGATATAGTCCCATTTGTTTATTTTTCCTTTGGTTGCCCGTGCTTTTGGGGTCATATTCATGAAGTCTGTGCCCAGCCCTATTTGCTGAAGGGTTTCTCCTATGTTTTCTTTAATAAGTTTTATTGTTTAGGGGTATATATTTAAATCCTTGATCCATTTTGAGTTGATTTTAGTACATGGTGAGAGATATAGGTAGAGTGCGGTGCTGACAGACCCATATCTAATCTCTTATTACATAACTATTTTGAAGATCATTTTGATAGCATCCATCAACATTTAATAAGTACACATCTTCTGATTCAACTATTCTACTTTTGGGACTCTGATCCACAGAAACATTTCCATACATATCCAAAAATACGTAAACAGAGATGTTCATACAGCCTTGTTTATACTTAGAAAAACCAGAAACAACGCAAATGTCCATCAATAGGGGATGGTTAAATAAATGGTACATTCATACTATGGATGACTACAGTATTAAAAGAAAAATGAGGTAGATTTAAAGGGATTGCTCTGTTAAGGTATTCATGATATTTTATAAATGAGAAAAGCAAGTTGCAAAAAAATACATCATAATCCTATTTAAAAATAAACTGTGTAAATATGTGTAAATATATGTATACATATATATAAAAATATTTAGGATATATACATCAAACTGTGAACAGTGGTGATGTCTGAGAGAATGGAAATGAGACAGGAGTATGGGACTTTCCTTAAAAAAAAAAATACTAAGAACTCAAGATTATTCTAATAGACATATTATTTTTTATTAAGTAAATTATGATGTAGCCATTAAGAGAAAAACTCTTTATTCACTGTCATGGAACAATCTCTAAGATACTATATTAGGAAAAAAAAAAGCGGTTTTAGAACAACATAAATGATTATTTGTTTAAGAACAAAAACTTAAAACTATATACAATTTGAGCCCTGTACTGGCCAGCTGCCCAAATAAAAACCCACAAAATAATATGTGTGTATTATTATGCATTGAAATAAAATGTACAGAAAAGGTCTGGAAAGATATAAACCAAATTGTTATTCTTGGTGGATATAAGATTTGTGTGGTTGCTGGTTGCCCAGCAAGGGAGTATGAAGGAGGGAAGACATTTTTTTCTCTATATATTTCTGCAGTATTTTATTTATTTTTATTTTTTGAAATTTCCCAACACAGTAGACTACGGTATTTTAATTACTTACAATTCAAAACATTTTTCAGCTTTTGAAAGCTGAAGTAGTTTATCAGCTTATAAGATTAATGTCATAAATATAAAATTACAAATCTAATTTAAAGTAAGAGAACAATTTAATTTCCATTTTTTCCAATGCATTTCCTCAGATAAATAATGAAATGTAGGTAAACTCTTACCCTTAAAAGAAGCTCGTCCCAACTTTGTAATATGAAAATTATATTGGTGCTCTTCTTTGGACTTAGAAAGAGTGTCTTTTTGTAGAAGTCCTTTTTCTGTCAGATGTCTAAGTGATTCAACAGTTATTTCCCAGAGACTTTTTTCTTTCAATAAAATCTTTTGTTGAACACCAAAAAATGTACCATTCATAAAGTGACATATGTCATCAAGATTGGTTGCGACCTGAAACAATTCAGGACATTATTGGAGCATTTTCCTTAATTCAAGGCTTCACTTTGAATGCATATTAATCAAGATAATGACTCATTTCCATACTTCAAAGTTATTTAAATAAAAAATTAACATAAAATCTACACAGTTGCATATATAAAGATAATTTTATAATGGCATTTTATTTATTTATTTATTTATTTATTTATTTATTTTTAAAGATGACCGGTAAGGGGATCTTAACCCTTGACTTGGTGTTGTCAGCACCACCCTCTCCCAAGTGAGCGAACCGGCCATCCCTATATAGGAATCGGAACCCTTGGCCTTGGTGTTATCAGCACCACACTCTCCCAAGTGAGCGAACCGGCCATCCCTATATAGGAATCGGAACCCTTGGCCTTGGTGTTATCAGCACCACACTCTCCCAAGTGAGCGAACCGGCCATCCCTATATAGGAATCGGAACCCTTGGCCTTGGTGTTATCAGCACCACACTCTCCCAAGTGAGCCATGGGCCAGCCCTTACAACGGCATTTTAAAATTAGCAAGAAAAGACAGTTTAAGGGAGAAGATAGCTATCATATTCATGCTTTTTATAAAAACATTTACATATTTTTCATTCAAAAATTTCTTAGATTTTTTTGTTTTTGGCAGCTGGCCAGTAGGGGGATCCTAAGTCACGACCTTGGTGCTTTAACACCATGCTCTAACCAACTGAGCTAAATGGCTAGCCTCCTTAGGTTTTTAAATAATTTTCCACAATATTTCCAAAGCTGTGCTCTGTTTACTCCCCAACCAATTTTCACTAATTCCTACTCAGCCTCCTTCAGGAATCCTCCTTTCACTCCTTGCCCTCACCTGTGAAAGCATCCTTTGGCTCTAAAACTGCACTTAAAAAAAAAAAAAATTAAAACTCAACTGAACAACTCCATGAAAATAGAATCAGGCAACACTCTGCCTGAAAAGTTACCTAAAGATGAATAGTAGTTTTCTACCTCTTTTTATCTCTCTCTCATTTCCATCTCCTTTTCTTGGTCTTTTCTTGCCTTTTTCTCTTGCCTTCTTATTCCCTTTACAGCTTACAATGGCAACCACAGTAATACTTAACCCTTCACTTGGTATTTAGGTGTGGAGTTGACTCTGAATTAGAATAATCTTTTATTAGCCTATTTCAATGAAATCTGCATGCTATACTAAAATATAGTCAATCAATAAGTATATTTCTCTTTCACAATTCTGATATTTCGACTGGAAAATTTAAGTATTTCACATCAAACCAATATAAGGGATAACAAAAACATTATGTGGCACAGACATTTTTTATTGCTTCTCCCTACTTTTAGTAAAAATAATTCATAGTATAGTATTCAATTAAACTAAAATTGTACTTTTAAGATATCTAAGAACTGGTACTTAGTTTGTGGATTATCAATGTACTGAATCCTATGGCCCACCAACAGTTATGTTCTCTTATTAATTCCTGGAGTTTCCTTCTCTTCTGTCTAAGCATGGATCTAGCATCTCCAGAGATGTTCACCTTCACCTCCTCTTCCTTGACCTCATACTGACCAAGTCACAGATCTTGTCCTTCTTTTCTCTCACCCTATCCCACCTGGTTGTTCCTTTCTGTCTTCCAGACTTGACTTTTTGCTTCAATTCCAACTCTAAAGATTTCCCTGGTTATTGACCCTGTCTAGAATTCCAGCCTCCTTCCACAACTACAGCCCTATTGTGAACCCTTACCCCAAGATGTAGGAAGGACCCTGATGGCCTGTCCTCAGGACTGGACCCAGAAGCTTGAGTTCTGCCTCCTATGGGCAGGCTTGGATGGAGGCTGCCTATCTGCTTATCTCTTGAACTGACTGCTGGCTGGATGTCTCCCTTCTGTACACCACTTATTAAAAATAGAATATGAATGAAACTGTTGTGCAGTTGAATGAAACTGTTCTGCATCACTAGGGGGATAAAACCACATCCTTGTGACCCTTGTGGCCAAGTTAGCTCTCCGGTCTCCCTGTTACTCTAAGCGCTCCTTTTGCCAATTCTTAACCCATGACATATGTATATTTGTTAGATATATGAATTATGAATATTCCACCTATGTCTGTGGATTGTCTATTCATTTTTTAAGTAGTACCTTTTGAAGAGGACAAGTTTTTTTTTTTTTTTTTTCCTTTTTGTCTTTTTTAGTGACCGGCAACGGATCGCAACCCTCAGTGTCACGCCCGTACCGGACAGGGACCGGCAATGGGATCGCAACCCTCGGTGTTGCACCCGCACCTCGCTCAGCCAGTGAGCGGCCGGTCTGTATGTGGGATCCGAACCCTCGGCGGGAGCGCCGCCACGCTCCCAAGCGGTGCACTGTAGCAGTGCGCCACCGGCCGGCCCCGAAGAGGACAAGTTTTTAGAAATTTTTTTGGTGGCTGGCCAGTATGGGGATGCAAACCCTTGACCCTGGTGTTCAAAATCCCTGCTCTAACCAAATGAGCTAAGTGGTCAGCTCAGAAGAGATTAATTTTGATGATGTATATTTGATTTTTTTTTTCATCGTTTATGCTTTTTGTTTCCCATGTAAGAAATCTTTGCCTAACCCAAGGTAAAAATTTTTTTCTCCTATTTTTTCTCCTAGAAGTTTTATCTTAGCTTTCAAGTTCAGTTCTATGATTCATTTCAAGTTAATTTTTTTGTATACTGTGAGGTAATTTTTTTTTTATTCCATCCAGACATCCAGTTGTTCCAGCATCATTTGTTGAAAAGATTATACTTTAGCCTTTGAAATATCTTGGCAGCTTTGTTGAAAATTAAGTAACCACATGGTATAGATCTTTTCCTGAACTCACAGATCTATTAATCTATATGTTTATCTTTGTACCAATCCCAGTCTTGATTACTGAAGCTTCTGTAGCAGTGCGCCACTGGGCCGGCCCAAGACTTTCTCTTTTAATCCTAGTTTGCTGAGTTTTTATCATAAATGGATGTTGAATTCTGTCAATATGGAGAATTACATGAGTTGAATTTTGAGTGTTAAGTCAACACTGCATTACTGTAATAAACCTCAACTGATCGTGGTATATTATTCTTTGTGGGAAGATTTGTAATCACAAATTAAATTTCTTTAATAGATATAGAACTATTCAGATTTTCTATTTCTTCTTCAGTCAATTTTGAGAATTTGTGTCTTTCAACAATTTTCCCCATTTCATCTAAGTTGCTGAATTCATTTTACAGTATTCAAGGATCCAGTTATTCAAGGATAATACCTTACTATCTTTTTAATGTCATTAGGATCTTTAGTAATGACCCTTCTTTCATTCCTAATATTGGTAATTTATGTGTTCTCTTTTTCTCTTAATCAATCCAATCAATAATCTTACAGATCTTTTCAAAGAACCATCTTGTGATATCAATAATTTTTTTGTTTGTCTACTTTTTATTTAATTGATTTCTGCTTTTATTTGTATCATTTCCTTCTTTGTACTTACTTTTAATTTATTTAAATTTTTTTTAGCTTCTTAAGGTGAAAGTTAGATCAATGACTTGGATCCTTCTTGTATCGTAAGAAGCATTTAAAGCTATAAATTTCTCTCTAAGCACTTCTTTAGTTCTATATCACTAATTTTGATATATTGGTTTTCATTTTCATTCCATTCAAAACATTTCTGATTTCTCTTGTGATTGCTTCTTTGACCATGGGTCAAAGTATGCTGTTTAATTTCCAAATATATGGGTATTTTCCTGATACTTTTCGTAATTGATGTATTATAATTCTGTTGTCATTAAATACCATACTCTGTAGGATTTCAATCCTTTTCAATTTATTGAGACTAGTTTTATGGCCCAGAATATTGTCTATCTTGGTGAATATTTCATGTTTACTTGGTGAATGTTCTACATACACAACAGCATACTGGAAAGAATACAGGCCAGCAAGTGAGAAATCTGAATTATAGCCACATAGTAACCATAACTCATTGCATATTAACCATAATTCAATGAATGAGCCTGAATTAATCACTAATTCTCTGGGTCTGTTACCTCCTCTAATATATAAATGCATTAATAAGTTGAAGATCTCCATGATCTCTCTCCCTCCTTAACTGATTCCTTGGCAACCCTCCTATTCTGGATCTTTATTATATGACACATGGATTACTACAATTACTTCCAAACTAGTCTTGTGATACTGCATACTATTATTATCCCTGTTTTACAGATAAAGCAACTGAGTGAGGTTTAAGAGAGATGTAATAATTTAGGCAGGGTACTAAGAGACAGAGCTGGGACTAGGACCCAGGTATGTTTGATATCAGAGCCCTTGTGTAAACAACCATAGAACACTTTTACTAATTCTCCACTGATAAATGTCCATGTCACAACTCTTTTTTTTTTTTTAAAAAGATGACTGGTAAGGGGATCTTAACCCTTGACTTGGTGTTGTCAGCACCACGCTCAGCCAGTGAGCGAACCGGCCATCCCTATGTGGGATCCGAACCCGTGGCCTTGGTGTTATCAGCACCGCACTCTACCGAGTGAGCCACGGGCCGGCCTCATGTCACAACTCTTTATTCTGGTATTTAAGCATGCTCTTCCATGTTCCCCAATCTATACCATATGGTCTAGCCCCAACTTTTTTCACCCAACCTTCTATTTTTCAGGATCCTCGGCCCTCCTCTAGAGCTACAGAATCTAGTCTATTGACTGTTACCCCATATAATCTTAAGCTTTCTTATCTTTTATTCTATTTTAAGTACCTGGAACAGCTTATCCCTTCCCTCTGCTGATCTAAAACCTGTATCTCCTTCAAAACCCAGCACTAATTCCTTTTCTTCTTTGTAGTCTTTCACCCTTCTAGAAATAGTATATGATAACACCATTCTTCTGCAAGGTAATCAAACTTGTCTTATAATATCTTTTTTATTTATCAGTTACTTATTGTACTTTTACTTAAACCATCCATTTAATAAAAGCAGACTGCAAAAGGAAGGCAGATTGTATGATAGGTTAAGAACACTGGTTTTGTAGTTAGACAAAAATGAATTCAAACCCTGGCTTTCCCATTTTGTGTCTGAGTGACCTTGGCAACAAAGTTAAAATTTAATTAACTTAAGAATAACACTAACAGAAAGATTTTACTGAAGACTAACCCTAAAAAAGAGCTAATTTCTAATCTTAGGAAAGTGTTTTCCTATTGTGTGTGTGTGTGTTTTTCTTTCCTGATAAACGCTATACTGATGTCCCAAATGTTCATAATATCTCAGAATGGTGAGAGGACTACAGGTGCTTCTTAACTCCCAATAAGGGCAGAGGGGCTGGATTATCCCACATCAGGACCCAATGCTTTACAGTTCCCTGTATCCCCCACAGTATCCACCAAAGTCTCTTACTTGTGATGAATGCCAGTTATGATTTGTTGTTTTTTGTATTTCTTATAATAAAAAGGATTAAAAATGTACCTAGAAATCCAGACTGAGATTTATCATGTCAGACTGTTCTTTTCCACATTAGATTAGACATAAACATTTCTTTTCTACTTCACACTTTACATAATTTTTTAACATCTATTATCTCAGGTAACAGCAATAAGATTAAAAAGTATTAAAAAATACCTTCAAGCCAATCAAAGAGAGACACAAAGTTTGGATTCCCTTGGTGAATTCCTGAACAAGACAGCTATAACAGTTTTCCAGTGGTCTGCTTATTAACTCCAATACCTACAAAAATTGAGGCAACATTAAGCTTTGTGTTACTATAAAAATAAATAGTGGTCCTTATAAAGATTTTACACTTTACATAAATTTGCGGAGATGGGGAGGGAAAAAAAACATAAAGTGAAAAGAATAAGAATTTACCAGGTGTCCTCACAAAAATAGAAGAAAGATAAATAGGGAAAATACCTTTTCATTGTCTAAAATATAAAAATATTCAAACTACTCTAATTTTTAATAATATAGGAGAGGAAAGTATCATTTAAAGGAACATCAGTAATTAATTAATTTTTTTTTTTAAAAGATGACCGGTAAGGGGATCTTAACCCTTGACTTGGTGTTGTCAGCACCACGCTCACCCAGTGAGCCAACCGGCCATCCCTATATGGGATCCGAACCCGGGGCCTCGGCGTTATCAGCACCACACTCTCCTGAGTGAGCCACGGGCCGGCCCCATCAGTAATTAATTTTAAAAGATTATCTCATAAAAGGGCTAGACCAAACACCAAGAAAAAGAAGACAAAACCAAACAACCAACAAGATTGAGTATTACCTGTTGTTTGTCTTTTTCTTGCAATATAAGTATACTCTCCCCCATAGTATCTATTCCAGCACGGCCAGCTCTGCCAATCATCTGTTGATACTGATTCCTCTTTAAAAATTCTTTAGCAACATAGGGAGCTCTTAAAATAACTCTATGGAATTGATAAAATGAATTAAAAGTAATACTCCATCTATAGCAATAGCATCTATCTTTAAACTTTTAATTTCATTACATCTATGTGGTATTAAATTTAATGATATCATAACTCAAAATAATAGGTAACTACTATTTACCAAGAATCTTGTTCTTTATATACATTATCTCTAATTCCTAAAAAATTCTTTTTTATTTATTTGTTTACAAAGAAGTTAACTGAAGCTCAAACAAGTTAAGTTGCTTGCCCCAAACTACAAAATCAGTAATTACCAGAATCATAATTTAAACTCAAGTTTGCCTAGCTGCAAAGCCTATGATCATTCTATGGCAACAATCTCCAAAGTTTTTGATTTTTATACTCCATAAATGAAAAATTTGATTGTGTATCAACATATGCATATTTATTTATAAATCTATAAAACTTCAGATTTCAACTGTTTTTGACCTACAAAAATGGCAATTTCTATCCTGCTCATGTATACAGAAGTCTGTAGTCAGCTTTCCTGTACAAAGGCGAGAGATTTAAAACCTATGCCATTTACCTATACTAATCAACCGACTCCCTTATTTATAAATCTCAAGAGACAGCCAAGATTATTAAGCACTTAAAACTAAGAACACAAAAGAGAAACAACAAGAACATACAGAATCAATGACCAACAGAAACAGATATTATAGGGAACTGAAGAGAACTTTTAAAAATTCTAATCGGTGTCCACAAAAAATTCCAGATATTATATTCACAATACAAAAGCAGGCTGTTATAAAGAAAGAACAATAAAGGAGAGTTCTTGAACATTAAAAAATTTTTAAAAATTCATTAAAAAATTTCAATTGAAGAACTGAATAATGAATGAACATAGTTAATGGGTACAATTAGAAAGTGATTTTATCATATGGAGGATAAAGTTAAAGAAATCACACAGTTCAAATAGATTGAAAAATGTGTATGAAAAGTTAAGAGATATGAAAGCTCAATCTAAGAGGCCTGTCTAGCTGAAGTCACAAAAAGCAGAAAGCAGAAAAAACAGGACGGAAGCAATAATCACAGGAAAATGGAATAAAATTAAAATGAAGAAAGGCATAAAGCTTTAGATGAAAACACCCACCCAAGTGCTAAGCCCTATAAGTGAAAAGTAGGTAAATTGGGATTGATGGAATGTAGATTAGACGTCCTGTTTCAAACCTTGCCTTCGAAAATCAATGGCTGGGCCCGCCTGTGGCTCACTCAGGAGAGTGCTGTGCTGATAACACCAAGGCCACGGGTTTGGATCCTATATAGGGATGGCTGGTTCGCTCACTGGCTGAGCGTGAGCGTGGTGCTGACAACACCAAGCCAAGGGTTAAGATACCCTTACCGGTCATCTTTTTGGATTAAAAAAAAAAAAAAAAAAGGAAACTCAATGGCTGGGTGTGAAGTTGAATAAGTTATTTAATTGTCCCATGTCTCAGTTTTCTCTTCTAAAATGTGGGTATTAAAATATGATCTTCTTTACAGAGGAGTTGTAAGGACTGAATAAATAATGCATGTAAAGCTGTTATTACAATGGAAGGGAGAGAATGTAATAGCTGCAATTATTATTACATACCAGGATGAAATTTTAAGGTTAAGGAGAAAAGCCTAAAAACATCCAGTGAGGAAAAAATAGCAAACCCATGCAAAAACAAAGATAAGCAACACTGGCTCCTAGAAGACATGGAACAATATCCACAAAATCCACAAATGAAAATAATTAAACCTAGAATTCTTTTCCTAGTGAAGTGTCAAGATGTGAGGCCAAAAGAAAGACATCTTCAGCTATCTAAAGACTCAAATTTTTTTTTTACCCCCAATGTGGCATTCTAAAAATAATTACTCAAGGATGGAAAAATAAAAACTGGATCATGGAAAATGTGAGATAGAAGAGGCAGTGATAAGCAAAAAACAAAACAAAACAAAAATTAAAATTTACAGGTAAGTTTAAATAATTAGGACTGGCCTGTTAGCTCAACTGATACAGCATGGTGGTGCCGATAACACCAAGCTCAAGGGTTCAGATCCTCATACTCTCCAGCCACCAAAAAAATTTTAAAAATTAAAAAAAAGTTTAAATAATTATTGGTTATGAGATAAAAAAATTAAAAAATCTGGAATTAAAATACTAGGTAATTGCAACATATATGGGCAGAGTAGGAGAATATACTAATGCAAAAATTCTTGTTATGTTCAAGAGAGATTAGTTATTGATTAATTCTAAAGTGATAAAAAATTGATTACAACTTTTAAAATTTTAAGATTAATCATTAGAATAACAGAAATAGAATATGTAACTTTCATTTGTCTGAAAAATAGAAAAACATAATCAGTGACAGAAATTGAATATAAAAGAATGGAAAAAGATATAATAGGCAAAAAAATGTAGTCCTAGTATTTAAAGCAAAATCACTAAAAAAACCACAAAGACCAAAGGTATAATTTAACAATAAGATATTTGAAGTAAACCTTTGTATAACTAAATAGTTTTGAAATATGCAAAGCAAAAACTTACAAATGTAAAAAGGAAAAACTGACAACTCCATAATTAAAGTGGGAGATTAACACACCTCTTTAAAACTCATAGATAGGGCCTCAGTGCCCTGCCGGGGAGCCTGGGGCTTGTAGCCCGGACCAGACTCCCCCCAGTCCACACCCAGGCACACAGTGTAGGCACACCGCCAGCGCCTCGGGACCTGCCTGGGGACCTGGGGCATGGATCTGGGGACCGATGCCCCCCACTACCAGGCACACCACCAGCACCAAGAAGTATGCCAAAAAACATCACCTCCACGTGGGTGGCCCAGCACAGCCACCACAGTAACCATGGCTGCCGCGGAAGTGGCTAGACATCACAACCACCATGCAGATGGTCTGCCAGCCTCTGGAGTCCATTGACACAAGGAGAGTCACCAGCAGAGACCAAAGAAAAGAACAGGATGTCTCTCTCTACAAAGCCCATTCCAGAGTGACAGAATAAACATTTGCTCTATGATAATATTGGGGGACCTGAATATACCTTTCAGCATTGGACAGATCAGCTAGACAACAAATCAACAGAGTAACCATTACTCTTTCAGAGACAGAGAAGAAACTTAGGGTTATCAGTGGTGGGAGAAGGGAGGGAAAAGGGGATGGGGAGAGATTGAACAAGGGGCATAAAGAATAAGTACAATTTGTAACAATATACATACTAATAATATTGATTTGATCAACATAAGTCAACATTGAATCCCAAAAATATGTATAATCAATTATGATTCAATAAAAAATAAATAAATAAAAAAACTTTTAAAAAAAGCAATACAACAACAACAAAAAAATAAAACTCATAGATAAGGAAGTGGGAAAGAGGAATTGGTAAAGGGACACAAAAAATCAACTACATCGTATATTGATAAATTAAAATAAAAAATAAATAAAACTCACAGATCAAGGAATCAAAAGTAGTAAGAAAATAGAAGGGCTGGTAACACAATCAACAACTGTGATTTCACTGAGATATATAAAATTGCATACCCAACAGAAAACACATATGAGTATGCTCTTTAACACTCAAAGAAGATTTATAAAAATTGACCATTTATTAGAGAAAAATCACACAGCACAAATTATATAGAGCATATACAGGCCTATACCTCTGGTAAAAACCGAAAAGGTAATCAAGGATTTCCCTTAAAAAGGGTTATCAGACTCAAATGACTTTACGGATTAGTTCTCCAAGGTTTTAAGAAAATCTGTATGCTAAATATACTAAAAAAAGGTGAAAAGCTTGCCAACTACAGTATTTCTACACAACTAGGGTAAAAAACCCAAAGCCAGATAGGGAAAAAAGAAGAAAGAAATTCTAATACCAGGAAATCTACTGTTATTTTTTATTAAAATATTAAAGGAAATAAGCCAAATAATCAACTCAGCAAATGCTGAAGAACATTTGATAAATTCTCACCCACTTCTGAGAAAGAGTAAAACAACAAAACTCCTTGCAAGCTAGAAACTGAAAAGCTTTAAGCATGGCCAAGTTACATATCTCTTACCTTCGAGCTGGTAGGTTGACACCTGCTGCTAAGGTGGATGTGCAGGTAAAAAGACAGAGAACTCCTATAGAATAGGCCTCCTCCAAGAGCTTCCTTTCATCACTTGTTAAGCCACTATGATGATAGGCAACACCAAATGGGATAGTGTGCTTTAAAACAGGACACAGGTTGCCACTGCTGATATTCTTCAAGTTCTTAACCAAGTCATGTTTTTCTTTCTCCCTGTGTTTCAGATAGTCCCTAGAAAAAACATCTGTTAAAAATATGAAACCTTGCTCTTATAGTGACAAAATGCCTATCACTGTCATTTTAGTAGATGCCATGCATTCTTTTTCAAAAATGTACTACTTCTATCGATATAAGTATATAAAATGTTCTTAGAATTTTGATTCTACTGGGCCGGCCTGGTGGCACACTGGAGAGTGCGCCGCTTGGGAGTGCGGTGGCGCTCCCGCTGAGGGTTCGGATCCCATGTGGAGACCGGTTCCCGCTCACTGGCTGAGCGCGGTGCGGGCGCAACACCGAGGGTTGCGATCCTGTTGCCAGTCCCCAGTACGGGCGCAACACCAAGGGTTGCGATCCCGTTACCGGTCAGTAAAAAAGACAAAAAGGAAAAAAAAAAAAAAAAGAATTTTGATTCTACAAGCTATTGCTAAATGGGTACAGAATTTTATGTTTAGGATGACCAAAAAGTTTTAGAAATAGATAGAGGTAGTGGCTACACAGCATTGTGAGTGTAATTAATTCCACACAATTGTATGTTTAAAAATGCTTAAAATAGGAGCTATCTATTTAGTTCACTTGGTTAGAGCATGGTGCTGATAACACCAAAGTCAAGGGCTCAGATCCCCTTACTGGCCAGCCTCCAAAAAAAAAAAATGTTAAAAATGGAAATTCTTATATATGTTTTACCACAAAAAAAACTGGGGAAAAAAAATTGATCTTATACAAGTAGAGTGTAGAATAGTGGTTTCAGAGGCTGCAGAAGGGAGGGGGGAGGTAAGGAGGGGCAGAGGTTGGTTAATGGGTATAAAGTTAGTTAGAAAGGAGGAATAAGTTCTGGTGTTCTATTGCACAGGAGGGTGACTATAGTTAACAATAATGTATTATATATTTTAAAATAGCCAGAAGATAGGATTCATAGTTCATCTTATGAATCCATGGATGCCAGGTTTAGACCCTTGCTCTAGATGTTGTTGTTGTTTTTTCTCTACAACATACATCTTTATCAAAGATGATTTTTTATTTTAAGGCATAAATTTTCATCTCTGGAGATAGAAGCACATATATTATTAAATCATACTTACTATGTGGTAAAACACTGACTGTATACACTCTAGCATTTTAGAAACCTCAATAATACCCTATAATGTCTCTGTCACTTAGCCAGTGTTAAATTACCTTAAATTATTATAAGAAAATAAGTGGTTTAATGAGAATACTTCAATGATAATTTAACTTTCTTAGGGTTTTAAAATTTAAAAAAATTTTTAAATTTTAACTTCTCAATATAAATTGTAGTCGATTTTCATGTCCTTTTAACCCATTCCCTTCCCCCCTCCCCTACCCCACTACATCATATCTGTTCACTTGTCTTAACAAGTTCAAGGAATTGTGATTGTTGTTTCTTCTCCCCCTCCTTATTTGTATGTATATTTTATTTATTTATTTATTTATTTTTAGCTCCCACAAATAAGTGAGAACATGTGGTATTTCTCTTAGCTTTCTTAGGTTTTTATAATCAAAATCATCACTGTAAAGGCAGACTATCAGTTACCAAAATGAACAACTCCTTGAGCTTATCCTAAGCATTTTTACTTTGTGCTGTTCAATAAATTTAATTCAATTTTAGACCAATCCATGACAGTAGGATTATGAAGGGAGGTAGAGGATGACTAGGTTAGAATTCAGGTTAATACTCTATAAATGGTGATATAGTAGTAGCTAAGGGGCCAAAAAGATGTCTGAAAAAATGATAAAATCACACACGGGACAAATAGGTACAGTAAAAACTGAACTGTCAGTACTTCTAAAGTCAATTTACAAATTACACTTACCTCTATGAGTATGACAGAGCCAAAATTAAAATACTGTAAAATTGCAAACCAATATATTTCTTAATTATTTAGAAAATTAAACTGAACTGCCCATACAACTTAAGTGTGACATTTACTCAGAAAACAAAGGCAACAGTATTTAATTAAAGAAAAGGTTAAGGTGAAGATATAATTTGTCCCTACAGTGATTACAGCAATTAGTACTTTGACTATCTAAGCCAGACATTCTTCACGTTGACTGTACATTGGACTTGTCTGGGGAGCCATACAAAATGATGCCTGGGTCCCACTCCCAGAGATTCTGATTCGTCTAGGATGTAGCCTGAGCACTGGGATTTTTAAACCTCTAAGATGATTCACTGTGCAGCCAAGGTTGTGAATCACTGATCTAGACATTATATTAGTCAGCATTCTCTTATATGTAGCCTTAGAATTTTTCTCTGGCTATTTCACATGTAAATTTCACAGTTAAATTTTCTTTCTTTAAGGTCAGGGCCTTTAGAACTTACTATAACAACTAAATATAATAATATGCAAGAAGTAATTAGTGCTTGCTCAATAAACAGAATGCATAGCTTATAATTCATGATAAAAATAAAATAAAATACTTCTTTTAAAATATTAACATACTTGCTTAAAAACCTGCATATCATTTCTGCTACATTTTCACAGTTCTTCTTAGTGGGACAAAAAACTAAGCAGGAATAATTGGGAATAACTTCTGTCACCAATGCTACCAAGTAATCAGGATCCATCTTTTTCAAGGTATCAGAATACTGCAAAACAAGATGTAGGAACAGGGTAGTTAGTAACCATGAGTGAATGTCAATTTTTTACCAGCATGATTTGAAAGGTAAGTAAACCATCCATAATTCTGAACTTCTCACTTGATAAATCTGATCATTTGAAGAAAAGATGAAACCTATATTAAACAACAAAATGTTAAATCCTACTTTTCTCTTAGGTTATTAGAGTTTTGTTAGATATATTTAGTTTTAAAAAAACAAGATAAATTTAAAAAATGAAAATAGTGTTATTAATAACCTTACTACATGCCCATTTCCACTAAAGCAGAACAAAAAGCCCACAGAGAGAAACACAGATTTATCCTAATAATAGTCAAAGGACTACATAAATAAAATATATACTTTACTATTATGAATAATTTTCAAAAACACAGATTCAACCATACTAAAGAACATATTTCTAACACTGAATTATGACAATTTTTACAACACTAAGCAGACATGAAGACTTCAAAGAACATGAAAAAGAAATGTAAAGTTATTGAAAATCTCCTCAGTTCCTTCGATTTTATTGAAAACTAATTAAGATACAGATTTTGAATAATACTCCTTCATAGAATTCTAAACAAGCTGTAAAATCTCTTTCTCCTCTTTATAATATTCTTCATTCAAAGTATAAAGTGACTTTAAATGCCAAGTCATAAAACATTGACACAGTAGATATTACCATTTTCATATACCAGTATCTGAACTACATGGTCCATAAATTATCCTTTGTTATTACTGTTGCTGAATGAATAAACATTTAAGAGAGAGGTTTCCAAATTTTCCTGGTTCACAGAGCCCTAAGACCAAAAGAAATATCTAATGGTTCTGTTAATTAAGTAGTTAGGTCCAAACAACTTAATAAACATGTACTTCCTCACAATTTAGTAGCCATCTGAGTAAATAATACACATCAAGTGAATGAAAAAATATTTTTATTTCATTTTTAAACACAACAGCTCACTAATGAGATATGTGCATAACTTGACACTGTCTTTCAAACTTTGGAGTAAGACTGGACATAAACATTCTCATTTTCTGATTGATATTCATATGGTATCTGCTTACAGCAACTGCAAAAACCTCAATTTCACAATAATGTGTCATAGAAAGGAATATAGCGTGATGTAATGTTGAAACTGCAAACTAGCTACCATGAACCAGTAGTTTGTATGGTGTCCAAGAGATGTCAAGCATCAGCCATTTTTCTCAAAAACTTAAACTATACCATGGTACCCATGTGATTATGTGGTGCCCCAGGATATCTGGGCACAAAGTCTGGGAACCCGGATTTAATGATTAGCAACATTACCTTATAATTAAGGAGACGTGAAAAAGTCATACCATTCTCAGCTTTGCTGTCAACCTCATACACTGTATCATTTATTTTCAGATATTCTTTTAATTCAACCTTGAATTAAAAGGACATTTGCAATTAATACCACATATGAATTCCTCTTTCCAGAGTTTTAAATTTTGTAAAATATGTTGCAAAAAGAACAGCTATGCAAAGATTTTAGCTTTTTTATATGTAAAATATGCTTCAAATTAAAAGTTTTGCTTTACCATTTTTTCTATTTTTCCCTTTAAATCAAAATAAGGATTAATATCCTTGAAGAAATACTTTCAAATCGAGTAGCTACATATCTAAAAGGAAACCAGACGCTTTTGTATTTGTCACAGAAAGTACAAGTGAGTTATAGTGTTCATACTCTTTATCTTTCATTAAGGAGTTATTTATGTTATTCCCCCAAATCTAAAACTTTCTGTCTTATTAGTCATCTGTTTTAATTCTAAATACCGCCATGTTATTTTTAGTTTAATTATTTGAAGACAAAAATAGTTTGTCAATGCTGCTCACTGCATTTCTTAAAGGATACACTCTATTGTGACAACTAAGGTCAGAAAATATCTTTTGAAAATTTTCATATTGGGTGCAAATGTAAAAACATCAAATTTCAAATTAAAGTTTGGTGATTATAAAAAATTATTTTCTGAAAATCTATTGAGACACAGAACATGCACACTAGTACTGCAAACAGGGCGTTTATGCACATTATGAGCTACTTTCAAATAACTGCAATTACATTTGTTTACTTTCTTCAAGCATTTTGGGAATGCTGTTATTGAGGAGTTTAAACAAATCCATCTGAAGCCTTAACTTATTAAAAAAAAATTATAACTACCAAAGCATAAATATTTGAAAATATCTTAACTTTTAAGATACCAATTTTTAATGTACCAATAACTCAAAATATGTCTCACTAAATTTTGGCCAAATGAAAAAATTTACCTTAGAGAATAAGTAGTAAAAAACAGAATGAATTTGGAAAAATTCATTGAGGATCCATGGGCCAAGCACTGTTCCGGGTACTATAGATACATAGTGACCAAAGCCAGGATTCCTGACCCCTCAGAGTTTACATTCTCTATATACGAACTCTTATTAGCAGAAAGCCATGGTGAGAGGAATTTTTTCCACTTTCACTACTTTATAGAATTTTTTATATACTATGTTTACTACTTTTATTTCTAATTAGGATGAATATATAACAAATCAGTACAGTGCAAACCTTAGATACATACTGGTCTAAACTGACTGGTGTAATATTCTGCTTGAAGAAACTCTTGTAGGTCTTCAACATTGCTTAATGTTGCACTCATACCAATAATTTGAGTTGTTTCTAAAAACAAACAAAACAAAATGCCAAAGCATTAAGGAAAATGTGTTTAGTATATCATAAAGTAATTCTAGCAAACTTTTTGTGCTCTGAATTCTTCCTGAGTGGTTTGGGAAGGGAGAGGGGAGAGGTAAGAAAAATACAAATATATTGCCAGTATATTAATCAGGCAATCAAAGAATGAAATCTATCAGGTATCCTGAAAATGAATACTTAGAATTCATAAAATTTAAAACTTTGCAAGATGTAGAATACTTATTAAGACTTCTAAACAAAAATAATGAGTGTAAATATGCTTATGGCTGTCTATCTGGGTGATCTCTATGAAGAGTTATGATACCGTTCCACAGGTAAAGCTACAGACAGATGTAGAGTATAAAATACAGGGCTAAATGAATCCCAAACTCTTGCCACACAAAAAGTCCTTTATGGGATCTTGCTATCAGGTTGCTAACTTCTTAATTTTTAAGAAATAAAGGTGGAGCGAAGCTTGTGAAGCTGCATGACTTCCTGGGCAATACAAAATGACTGCTCTCTATGTAGACTTAGCTATTGAATCAAAACCAAAGAAGCATTCTTAGCAAATGTTTCTTCATTGCTGCTGTCTTAAAATAGTGTCTGGTACACAGTAGGTTCTTAATAAATATTTTTTGAATGAATGGTTATAAAGTGCTACAACCTGCCTAAATACCATTGCTGTCAAAAAATTTTTTTTTTCCTTTTTGTCTTTTTTCGTGACTGGTAACAGGATCGCAACCCTCGGTGTCGCGCCTGTACCGCGACCGGGCAACGGGATTGCAACCCTCGGTGTCACACCTGCACCGCACTCAACCAGTGAGCGGATCGGTCTCTATATGGGATCGGAACCCTCGGTGGGAGCACCACCGCACTCCCAAGCGCAGCACTCTACCGAGTGCGCCACCGGGCTGGCCCCTGCTGTCAAAAATTTTAAAATAATTCTTATTAAGGCTGGCCAGTTAGCTCATTTAGTTAGAGTGTGGTGCTGATAACACCAAGGTCCAAGATTTGATCCCTGTACCAGCCAGCCACCAAAAATAAGATTTGACCTTTATAGTTAATAATTTTTCCATATATAAGCTAAGTATTCCAATACTGTATCAATAAATAGTAGAGATGACACTTAGAATAACTATTTCATGCACACGTAAAGAATATCTAATGTTGGGGCCGGCCCGGTGGCGCACTGGATAAGTGCGCTGCTTGGGAAGCGCGGCGGCGCTCCCGCCCGAGGGTTCGGATCCCACATACAGACCGGTTCCCACTCACTGGCTGAGCGAGGCGCGGGGGCAACACCGAGGGTTGCAATCCCGTTGCCGGTCCCCGGTCCAGTACGGTGGCAACACTGAGGGTTGCGATCTGTTGCCGGACACGGAAAAAGACAAAAGACAAAAAAAAAAAAAAAAAAAAAGAATATCTAATGTTGCAAAATAGCTCCTTAAAGTAACTACTTAAATAAACTCTTTGTTGATATGATGATGATGGTGGCAGCAGCAAACCTTTATTGAGTGCTCTTGGCTATGGACTGCTGAATGCTTTACATGCGTTAACTGGGAATCCTTACAATAATCCCATCAGGTTATACCATTATTATCTTCATTTCACAGATAAAGAAACAGAGAGTCGAGTGATGTGACTAAGCACACATAGCTAGTAAGTGGAGGATAATGATAGAGGATGTCTCCAAATACTAATTTCATTTATTTTCATAATTCTACTCATCCATCCATTCTTCCAACAAAAATCTATAAGCTTATTTTAGAAATTAAAAAACTAAGGCAGAAAGTTTAGTATGTTGCTCTAGGTAACATACTCTAAATAGTAATATAACTGTCTTTTATAGGTCTCTTGATTATAAATCAATTAGTGATCTCACTTAAAAAAAAAAAAAACTTACTGCTAGTGTAGAGGACTTTTGCTAGGGTCATTTCCAGGATAGCTCCACGGCTTCCTTCACCAATCATGTGCAACTTTGAGATTAAAAAAAAAGGCAGAAAATAAATCTTCATATAATGCCCATATAAAACATGCATATATTTGAATGAAATGAATATGTAATCTTTGCTTTATAGCTCTTAAACATTTTGGACATAACAACTATAGTATATATGCATTATTTCATTGGTATTTTAAGTTAATGAGTTTTGGAGCAATATCCTGACACATCTGGGATTCATAAGTACTATTATTAAATTATATATACACATACATTCACACTTTAGCCAACACTTGACATAAAACCAAATTTAAGATTACCAAGTGTGGGATGTCTTCACCTATATTGTCTATATATTAAAATAAATTACTTATTCTTATGGAGGTACTAAGCAGATCCACATAATCAGAATAATAAATATATTAGTATAATAAAAACATTGATAAATTACAAAAATAGTAACCAACCTCATCTACAACAACCAGACCCAGACTGCTAATCCTTCCAGTTTCAATCAAGGAGTTCACCAGGCTATGTCCTTTTTCAATAGTGGCAATATACAGTGACTTCTTTTCTCTCCTTTTAATTGGAGGAAATTTTCCTTTGCTTCCAGCATATTCTTCAACAAAGAAACCAAGTTCTATACCAAAACTTGACAAACCTGAAATCTAGAATATTAGTTAAAATAAACAAAAAAAAGTGCTCATAGGATTTTTAAAAAAGCTGAAGTAGTGTTTAATATGAATCGATGGGAACAAGGTCAAAGAGAAAGCATACATATCAAAGAATGCTATAAAATTAATGTGCTGGTCTTTGCAAAATAAATGCAACTTTTAGAGTAAATAATAAATGTGAAAATATACTTCAATGGTCTCCTTTGATGTCAAAAAGCATCAGAATAATTCATTTACTTTGATAAAGTAACTGATGAGTTTTTGTTTGAAAAAGCTGGCTAAATATTAATAGAACATTCAAGATGGAGTTTAATCCACCAGTTTAGAAAAAATAAAACTTTCTACAACAGGTCATTGGTATCTGAAGAGATTTTATGTAAATACTCTATACTGCTTTTGTATATCCTAAAAATATTCTCTATCATTAAGAGGTTCTTCTCAGTCAATAAAAAGTTCTTACACTTATGCTAGTTTTTAGATTTTTTTTTTTTTTTTTTTTTTTTTAAAAGATGACCGGTAAGGGGATCTTAACCCTTGCCTTGGTGTTGTCAGCACCACTCTCAGCAGTGAGCTAACCGGCCATCCCTATATGGGATCTGAACCCATGGCCTTGGTGTTATCAGCCCCCCACTCTCCCGAGTGAGCCACGGGCCGGCCCCTAGTTTTTAGATTTCTTTTTTTTTTTTTTTTAAAAGATGACCGGTAAGGGGATCTTAACCCTTGCCTTGGTGTTGTCAGCACCACTCTCAGCAGTGAGCTAACCGGCCATCCCTATATGGGATCTGAACCCATGGCCTTGGTGTTATCAGCACCACACTCTCCCGAGTGAGCCACGGGCCGGCCCCTAGTTTTTAGATTTTAATGTTAAAATAATATTAGCAAATATTTGTTTTAAAAAATACCACACCTTTTCCTGGACAATTGCCACATATGGAAGGATCATTAAAACATCCTTCCGCCGGCAAAGCAGTTCCTGTAGCATTAGAATCTCAGCCACGAGGGTCTTTCCACCACTTGTTGGCAAGGAATATATTAAATTTTTTCTTTCTCGCACAGAATTCAGTGTTAAGCAAGTATGTTGCCATTCTGCAGAATTTAAAAAAAACAACCAAGGCATTATTTTCACCTTCCATACTCTCAATCTCAAAACTGCTTTCTAAGAAGGAAAAATTAAATCTCTCCCTGTGTGGTGATCTTCTCATAAGGGTAAATGTAATTACAATCAATGTTTAAGGTCAAAAATCCTAGGTGTGCAATGTCCAACTTGCACAGCCAGTGACAATCTAGTTCAGGCCTCCTCAGCAGGGTGAGCAACTAGCCCACCTATTCACCAGCTACAGACTTAGGTTTAAGACTCTAGCAGGGCAGGCAGTAGCCTGGTGGACAAGGGGCATCATCCAGGACACCAGAGGAGCAAAAGGACAGTACAAAGACTCTTATGTCCTGCAAGGAAATTATGTAAGCTCCCCTTCTTCATTCACCCAAAAGGCATCTTAGAGAGAAAAAGGGGAGAAGGAAAAAAAATATGTATGAGGTTTTAAACAAACCAATAAAAACTTCAACTAGCTCTCACGGGAACCTGGACTCTGAATGGCCCCCAAACCAATTTAAACTGATAGGACTGTTTAAACCATAAAAGACTAGGATTATTAATTGGCACATCTAGGGTTCCCATAACTCAGCAAGGTGAGATTCATGAAAACAGATCAAAGACATGGTGTGGAAACTATTATAAAGGATAATTTGACAATGCAAATCATCAAAAGTCTTCAAAATGTGTATCAGTATTTCATCACTAGAAAAACAGGCAAAAGATATACTTCACAGCAGGAAGAAATGCTAATGGCCAACAAATACCTGAAAAGATACTCAACTGTTACCTCTTGGGCTGGCAAAATAAACAAACAAATAAAATAAAAAGCTCTTCACAACGTAAAATCCAGAGCTGACTAGAGTGGGGAGAAATAGTTTATGTTCTCACAAACTGCACACTCTCATGTACAATTTGTGAGAATATAAACTGCTGTAATCTTTCTGGAAAGTAATCTAGCAGTATCAAAAAACTGCACATTGCCTTTGATCTAGCAGTATTCCTTCTACATCTACAGAAATAAAAGCAAGGGTATACAAAGATTATGTGTAGGATGTCCATCACAACACTGTAGATAACAAAGTGCCATGGGGGGGGATGGTAAAGGCTGAATGAATTATTGCACAATCATATGCTGTAATCCTCTGAAACTTAAAAATGGGGATAGATCTACTTATATATGTTCAACATGCAGTTAAGGAAAACGAGCAGATCATAAATGTGGGTGGGATAGTATGAATCCAATTATATACAAATAATAGAAAAGAATACATGCATAGAAAAGTTGGACTTGAATATGTTTTAAAAATCAAATTTAAAAAATGACTAAGGATATATTACAAAGATACTAAAAATAGTTATATCTAAATGACAGAGCCACAAGTGACTTTATCATGCTTTTTTGGTGATTCCCAAATATTTACAAAGGACTAAGTATTTCTTTCTTTAAAAATATGTTTAAAATACTTAAGTTTAAAATTTAATACTTAAAAATTAAAAAACATCATGCTTTTTTGGTGATTCCCAAATATTTACAAAGGACTAAGTATTTATTTCTTTAAAAATATGTTTAAAATACTTAAGTTTAAAATTTAATACTTAAAAATTAAAAAACACTTGATTGGTATCACCCATTAGTTATCAAACTGCAGGTATTTATCCCAAAATACAACTTAACCATATCCCCATTATATCCAACTCAGATTTTTAAGTATAAAATGACCAAAATAACTAATATTTAGGAATATTATTTATCATCACACATTAAAAAATAAATATATTAACCTAGTTCTTAACACTTATATAAAACACATTAACTATGTAATTCTATGATAAAAATGCTAAGGTAACAGTGTAGGGTTTAGGTTCTCTAGCTCAGTGTTTCTCAAACTTTGGGGCAGGTCAGAATCCCGTGAAGTCTTGTTAAAACAGATTACCAGGCTCCACCCCCACAGGTTCTGTTGCAATAGGTCTGGGGCAGGGCCTGAGAATGTGCATTTCACCAAGTTTCCAGGAGATGCTGTAGTCTAGGAACCACACTTTGAGAACTACTGCTTTAGCTTAATGAAAAGTAGCACACATATTTATGCTTTAAATTGGTCATGCTATTAAGCCAGATTTACAAGTAAAAAGATTTAAAAAGTTATTTACTGAAGTTATTACTTAGAATCTACCAATATAATTATTGATAATCATTACCAACATCTAATTTGGCATGTCCTTGACACAGAATATAACTTGTAAAACAATTATTATTATTCTCCCTTTTTTTATAGACGAAAAACTAAGGCTTGGAGGATAAAGCTGTGTTTAAGTGACAGGGCCAGAAATCATGAGGAGGCTGACAACCCCCAGCAAATGAGAACCTACCAGAGTGTATCAGGCACAGCACTAGTTACATAAGAAAGAGTTAGATAGAGCTCTGTCCTCAGAGTATTCATTCTTGCATGAGGTAAGATTAAACAAAGAACAAGGTGCTAGGAGAAAAGCAGAGGGAAGAAAGTTAACATCTACTTCCAGGGAAATACACACCATTAACTCTTAGACCATGAACCTCACAATTTAGAATTTATTAGACTCTTGTATAGTCCTGTATTAGACTTTGAGTGTTTCTTGTAGTACTATTTCTCTAATCTGATTGTCTTCTGAGATGAGAACCCATGTTTTCATGTAGGTCATAAGATCCTAACAGAAGCAGAAATAGTTATGAAGTGATAGACTGAAGCACTGATCTTCCAGGATGGCAGCAACTGTCCCTTCTTTGTCTAAAATGGCAAATATTTAAAATATATGCAAGGACCCAGGATTTTTGAAAAATACTACAACATACATTATTATTATGACTATTTCTTTGCACTTAAATCTTGACTGCAGCCATCTCTTAAGATGTTTAGTTTTAATCAATGGTATTACTAATACTTATTTCTTTCACTCAAGACATGAGTGTTCAAATGGAATTTTAACAACTAAGTTTTGGTAGAGAAGACAAAGCCAAACAAGAAAATACCAGCTAAGAAAACCGAGGAACAGCTAGACAATCAGAGAAAAATCCAGGAGTGAAGTGTCAAGAAGAAATGAGTTTCTTTTTTTTTGTCTTTTTCGTGACTGGTAAGGGGATCGCAACCCTTGGCGTGGAGTTGCCCACACTGCGCTCAGCCAGTGAGCGCACCGGCCATCCCTACATAGGATCCAAACCCACGGCGGGAGCGTTGCTGCGCTCCCAGCGCCGCGCGCTCCCAGCGCCGCACTCTCCCCAGTGCGCCACGGGGCCGCCCGAAATGAGTTTCAAGAAGGGTGTGGTCAACAGTGGCAGGTAAACTACTGAGAAGCTAAATAAGGAAAGCATTGCTGCGCTCCCAGTGCCGCGCGCTCCCAGCGCCGCACTCTCCCCAGTGCACCACGGGGCCGCCCGAAATGTGTTTCAAGAAGGGTGTGGTCAACAGTGGCAGGTAAACTACTGAGAAGCTAAATAAGGAAAGCACTTAAAGTATCATTGGGTTTAGAAACCCTAGTCATTACATCTCAAGCAAGAGCACAGAACCCAGAATTGGAGTGGACTGAGAAATTAATTGAAGTGAGAAAAGAGAGACAGCAAAGATAACTTGTTTGAGAAGTGTGACTGTGAAGAGAAGGAAAGAGGTATCAGGATAGGCATGGAAAGATGACAACTGATATTTCAATGTTTTCAAGATGAGAATTATGACCATAGAAGCATTTGCTTCCATAGATTTGCACTAATATTATGGTAATAATGAAAAAAAATTTTTTTTTCCATTTCAGCAAAAAGCATTACCATATAACTTTTCAATTCCCTTGAACTGAACATAAAGGTCTCTCACTTTGCTGGGTAACGAATAAAAAGGACCAAGGTCATGTGATGATGACTCAATTATTTTTTTAGCAACATTAATTTCTTCAGATAGGAGAGTCTCTTTGAGCTGTTTACTCCTAGAAATTATTGGTGTTTGGACCTTGGCATTTCCAGTCATGGCACTTTTGAGATCATCTTTAACACTTTTTCTCCTATTCATATCTGAACCAGTTCTGATTTTAGAGGAGAATTCATCATTTTTCTGGGGTTGCTCTATGCAATTATGGGGCAATTCCTCATTCACAGTCTTGTGATAGTATGAGTTCCAATCCCTTTCTATAGCAGACTGATCACACAAATCATTTGAAGAGTTCTGCAAATTTTCAAAGTATAAAACCTGTGAAGAAGGTACATCATACAAAAGATCAGCTCCAGGTTCAAGAGTGACATCATTATGTCCACTTTGATTCTTTGTGTGCTCATCAGTTTTTAATTCAGTAAAGTTGTCTATAGGAGTAATGCTGAGTTTGTTTTTGATGCTTTCTGAACAAAGATCTTCAGTAGCAAAATCTGTAGCATGTTTTCTATGTTCAGGAAGTTGCATATATTTTTGTTCCAGGTCGTCAACTTGAGCTAAAAAGGAGTTTTCAGTAAAGCTATCATAGTCACCAAACATGTCCTCTTCACTGTCACTATGCTGAAAAGAAAACAAAAACACTTATGGACAATTCCAGTTTCATTAGGAATAAAAGCTTCAGCTTAGGGTTGTACCAAGTATATAATTATATGGTCACATATGGATAATAGACCTTCATGTAAATCACCCTCTGAAAAAGATATTATTACCATCATCTTACAGAATGAAGAAATGGAGGCCCATAGAAGTTAAGTAACTTTCCTAACCAGCACTCCTGGAGTGTTGTGGTACTGCGATTCTACTTTTACGCCTATGCTAAATCCTTAAAACGGTAACAAGATTGGCAGAGATCTATTAGGATGTCAGCTCACCAAAAGTTTCTGTTAACTGCAGCATTCCCCTCCCAGACTCCAATCTACATAGACTGGCCTGTAACAAAGTCACGGCTATACCACTAGACATTCCAAGCAGATTCTGGTCCTGCGCATTTGGAATTGAGACTGAGTCTGTACACTAACTTGGGGTGGTCTAGTGAAGAGGAGAGATGCTAATTTGGTGGCAGTAATATAGTGAAGTGATTCAGAACACACAATTTGGAGTCATTACTGTAGTTTTTCAACTTCTCAGGGCCCAATTACTATTGTAAAATCTACATAATGTACCCAGTTCAACGAAGTACCCAGCACAAGACGAGTCTTCAATAAATAGATTTTATTAGTACGCTGAGAGTAGCGTGATTTCGAAGTCTAGGTATGCGTCTCAGTCATACCACTTTATTTGCTGCGTGTACAACTTTTATGTCTCGGGGTCTACGTTTCATATCTATATAGGAATGTGGATAAAGCAATACCTCATAAATGCAGATTAACGGCGGTAACAAATACGACAGAAGTCAATAAAAGCTATTATCTAACTGGACAATCGTTTGCACTCGGGCAGGAAACTGACAAAATGTTGCAGTTTTAAGCTCTAAGCCTGGTCTCCCACCCCTCTTTCAGTGGACACGCGGAGGAGGTTTGCGTTGGTAACACCGCCCCAAAGGTAGTTAATGGGCCGAAGCACGTGGGGGAATTTGTCAGTGGCTCGGGCTGTACCTTCACCGGTTGCACGCCCACGGTTTTCCGCCGTCGACTCCCGGCCACCGTTTCCTCCTCCTCCTCATCGCCGGGCTTGAGCTCTGCCGCAGTGGGGGCGGCAAAAATGCTCTCCAGGCTAGGACGGTTCCTTTTGCGGATAGACACCCTTCGGCGGATGTGGGAACCGCCTTCATCCATGGCAGGGGCCGAGAGCCCTGCCCGTATGTCGTCTCTAGTGATCCAGCCGCCAAACCCAAGTAGAAGAGAGAGTGGAAGGCAGGGCGAACCCGCGTTCACATCTCCAACCACCTTCGCAAAGACCCCTAATTAATTCTAACGGCTCTCCGACCGCGTCGTCTCTAGTGATCCAGCCGCCAAACCCAAGTAGAAGAGAGAGTGGAAGGCAGGGCGGAAGTAACAACAGGGCGAACCTGCGTTCACATCTCCAACCACCTTCGCAAAGACCCCTAATTAATTCTAACGGCTCTCCGACCGGAAGTAAGAGCACAAACGTAGGTACCCGCCTTCTCCTCAGCCAGTCATAAGTATCCTGTGACTTGTGGCGCGGTGAGGACGAGAATGGAAAGATGCTGCGCAGGCGCATTGGAAACCCCACCTACACTTCAGCGTGTTACCGCGTTCGCCCACGGAACTTTTGACTGGCGTGCTCTGGCCCATAGAGGAAAACTCCGGAAGGGACCTGTCGGGACGATTTGGAAAGAGGAAAGGAAGAGTATGAATGAGGAACCATGGCAGCTATGGTTGCTGTTTGCGCTGGTCTAGGGAGGAAAAAATTGACAAACTCGGTAGCGACTGCTGTCTGCCTCAAGGATCCCGGGAGTCACGCGGGTAAAGTCTCCATATACTACGCTCCGCGGTAGCATTGCAGCCATCGCCTTAGCCCTAGTGGTCAGTGGAGTCGTCACTGTTAGGGAAACGACGCTGGTTTCTCCAAGAGGGGTGGAACTCTAATGACCCATGAGTAGTTCTAGTATTTTTGAGCTGAAAGGGACGTCAGGTGTCGTCCAGTCCACTCTTTTTAAATTTTTAAACATACGAAGGAAGTGTGGAGTGATTCTTAAAAAGAGAGCTACTTGCCTGAGATCTCCTGATAAACTTGTGAGATAGGGACATTTCCACAGTCAGCAGCAAATTACAGATGTCTAAGGCCTCAGATCACAGCGACATAAGCCTTCAAACCTATAATTTCTGCAATCTTATCTTCTCTGTGCTCTCTGGAGAGGTTCTGTTACTCATTTTCCTTTTGATATGACAATGCCTTTCTGTTGTCTCTTCTGTGAGTATTTGCATTAAAATCTGCCCTGAACCATGGAGTGAAGCAAAAATGTCAGGAAGAGAGCAAATCTAAATTAAAGTTTTATAACCAGTCATTTTGAGTACAATGAATATAAAAACTTTTATATTGTGTCCCTTGATTCATCTTGCCTCCATAAAAATAAAAATCTTACTTTTATTGCTATTCTGTTTAATCGCAGTGCTGTGGAGAAGAGGTTGTTCACAATATAAACAGATAACCAGCAATGAGGACCTGGTAAGAATCTTTTTTTTTTTTTTTCTTTTCCTATTACTAAGGGATTTGTAAATATGATCAGAGTCCTATATTTTAGCTATTTGAATAGTTTAGTTGTAGGACAAACAAATTAAACTCATTACTCTGAGTTTAAAAATAACTCAGTGATTATAGTCACTTAAGTTGAGTTCTGAATTAAGAGAATTCCTAGATTCCTAGGAAGCATGGCTTCTGTAATACCATATTTTTCTTCCTCATTCTTAAATTATTGGATATTTGATTTGGGAATTTAAAAAATAGTTTTGGCACATGGAATATTTCTTGATAATGGGACAAAGAGATTGTACAAAGCTTAGCTATAGATTTGCCCTCTTCCCAATTTTGAGTTCACATTTTTCCTATCTTTGTCTTATTCATCGCTTCTGGGGGGACTGCCTTAATAAATAAGGGGCAAAGCATTTGAGCTGAGAGTCACTTTCTTATCAGACTTCAATTTTTTTTCTCCCCAAACCCTTTTATTCTACAGAATTGTACTTTGAATCCTCCGTGAGTTAACTTCTTCTTAGCCAAACTGAAACAAAATTGCTCGTACATAATATGTACACACTAAAAAAGATACAGCTAATCCTTTGGATGGATTTGAAGGTAGTAAATTTAAGATTTAATTTTTTAAATTCAGAATTAACACATATCAGACTTTTCTGTCTTTATCCTAGCCCGTTCCAATGGAAAATCCTTATAAGGAGCCTCTCAAGAAATGTGTCTTGTGTGGAAAACGTGTAGATTATAAGAACGTGCAGGTGAGATCTGATTTCACTTCACTATGATTCTTGATTTTAGGATTTTGCTCCTTTGTTAGTTCTGCTTCAATGAGAATCAAATCAGTTTTGTAGCAGGCTTTGTATAGAGGCAGCTGTTTTAGCAACTTCATAATTTCAAATCTGGTTATAATTCTATGTATGAGGTATCTCTGCTTTATTCAAATAAGAGCCTCTTGGCTCCCTCATTTACTATTATTTCAGCTCAGTGTTTCTCTTTTTTCCTCTGCTCCAAATGTCTTAACAGTTGCTCACTATGGCAGTGATTCTTAGCTGTAGGGGGAAGAGGGGAGCGTACTTCGGGAAAAGCTCCTCTGGTGAAGTTGATCTCTGTACCTCACCACCCATGTTATTGCTTCAAATATTATTTTATCTCTTGTCTACCTCTCAGCAAATAAGTGGCAAATTTGAGAGGTGGGGAGTGAATGGTATATACTGACAATAGTGTAAGGTGATAACTACCTTTGAGGGGGAAAAAAACCAGGAAATTATAAAAACACAACATAGTATGAAAATTGTGCAAAGTATCAAAAACAGTGCCTGGCACCTAGAATGTGCTAAAGAAGTATTTAAAGTAATAAAACATAAATTATAACAAATGGCCAATATATCTGTACCTTTTGAAGACCTTAATATAGTCTGACAGTTTATCTTCATGATTATGTAATAGCTTATCATGTTAGATGAAATATTTTAGAATTTGTTATAAGCAGCAATATTTTAGAAAGATATCTGTGGGAAAGTCAAGTAAACAACTTTAGCACTGAAAGAATATGCTAATTAATCTGTTATTTAGGTGTATATACTATAGATGCTCCTTGACTTAAGATGGGGTTAGGTTCTGATAAATCCATTTTAAGTAGAAAATGTCATGTCAAAATTGCATTTAGTGCTGGCAACACAGCCAGACAGTGTTTAACTTACAAGGGTTTGACTTATAATTTTTCAGCCTCATAATGGTGTGAAAATGATAAGCATTCAGTAGAAACTGAAACCTCTTCAAAAGTCCTTGACTTACAGTGGGGTTACGGGGTTACGTCTTGATAGACCCATTGTAAAGCCAAAAAAATCATAACTCGGAGACTCTCTGCATGGACTTTTTGACACACTGGACAGGAGATGTTTACGTTAGTTATTTAAAAGGGTGACTTAGGCTGGCTGATTAGCTCACTTGGTAAGAGTGTGATACTAATAATACCAAGGACTAGGGTTCAATCCCTGTACCAACCAGCTGCCAAAAAAAAAAAAAAAAGGATGACTTGCTAATAGGATGAGCTAAATAATTTTTTTCTTATATTTTAAAGAAATTTATCTGAAATTTACTAATCTATACATAACTTGAAGGTCATGTGTAAAGCATGATTGTTTTTTGAAATTTACATATGCAGGGTTGAATAACAAATGTATTAATATAAATTTTTTTCCCTTCAAATAAAACTCAAAAACAGCTTTTGTCCCAGTTTATTTCTCCATTTACTGGATGCATTTATGGAAGGCACCTAACAGGTATTTTGTTTTTTACTTAAACAATTGAAATGTAGATAAGAATAATATCCATCTACTTGTCATTTAAGGAAACTGGCAAATTTCCACATGTGCTATAAATCACTATTAGACCAGATACCACAGGGACTGGATTTAGGTACTTTGAGAATGCCTCTTCTTTGGCCAAAATGCTTATTATTTTGCATATCTTCTTATGCTCAGAGTTACTACAGGCTGATGACATATAGAAAACTTGGGCTTAAAAAATTTGTGGTCTAGATGTTTTGGAGTATACTATGATCATTCCTGCACTGACACTTAAACTGGGTGTTGGTAAACTATGGCCCATAGGCCAAATCCAGCCTGTCTCATTTTTGTAGTTTTGTTTACATAGTGCATATGGTTACTTAGTTTAGTTGTGACACAGACCCTAGGGCCCACAAAGCCTAAAATATTTACTATTCTGGCCCTTAAAGAAATAATTTACTGAGCCTTGACTTGGGAAATTGTTGTATATTTTGAATATTTGCATGTTTATTAATAGGAAAGCACTTTTTTACTTTATAGGTCTTTGTGGGAAGAAACAGAAAGAAATCACAAAAGCGATTAAGAGAGCTCAAAAACTTGGTAAGACCACCTGAACAACTGAATTGGGTTAGTCAAGTTTGCTCATTATCTTTTGTGAAGAACTTTAATTATGTCTTTACAGGGTTTATGGCAGTTACATACAAGGATCCTGCATATCTCAACGACCCTAAAATTTGTAACGTCAAATATCGGGAATAAATTATGTGAGGCTACCACCAATAAATATTTTACAGTAAGTGGTTGTATTTTGCCAATATTGACTCAAACTAATCTTTGGGTAGAATAGTGTTTCAGGAGTGAGATCAGGAGTGAAGCTTTCCCTCCATACCAGTGAATGTTCATTAAACACACTGTTTATTTAAAATGTTAGTGCTTTTTAAAAATGTTAATACTCATTACATTTTGCACACCTTGAGTAAAAGTGGTACTGTATGATTGTTACTTATATGTGGTCCCCAAATAGCTCATATAGTAATGTACGACTGATATTGGTTGGGACAGTAAATATGGAAAGGATACCTTGTATTGGAATTCTGCTTTAGGCCTGGATTCTGTCTTACAGATGGGATGATTTTAGGGAAATGGGTATAGGATAATGGAATGCTTATATGATGTTCAAATCCCATGTGACTGGCTGTGGAGTTGAAATGTAAGTATGCCCAGTTGAGTGCATCTTCTCTTTGTAAAGATGTTACATTGGGATGGATAGTGGTGCTGTCACAGGACGACAAAACATTTATTCCTGGATTAGTATATCCTCAAACCTATAGCATCCTTTACAAAAAGGAATGATTCATAGATAATCTATTATTGGTCATCTTCTCTCATTCCAGAGATACAAGGAGTAGGGCTCAAACTGACAACCGTGATCCTTCTCTTTTTGCTCTGTGCAGTACCATAATTATGTTACCAGTAAGACAACCCCAGCAGAAGCTCATGATTTGCACAGACTGGTAGTATGTGGGTTCATAAACATCCCATAATTAGGTGCATGTTAACACACATGTAGAAGACAAAATTTTTTGTCACGAGATATGATTTTCTCTACCAAATAATTTCTCTTGGAAGTAACAGATGGGAGAACAAAGGTCAGTCTGTGTTTAGCGTTTCATCCAGTGAATGAAAGATGAAACATGGTAAAGGATTCATGTGATGTATACATTTCCTGGAAAAGTGTATGGGAAAGACTTATAAATACATCTACTCATACAATAAACACTCTTTTAACTAACTCCACTTCACCGACTCTCTGGATTAAGCTGGAACTTCATGTCCTCCCTAAAAATCATATGGGAAAGACTTATAAATACATCTACTCATACAATAAACACTCTTTTAGCTAACTCCACTTCACCGACTCTCTGGATTAAGCTGGAACTTCATGTCCTCCCTAAAAATCATACTGAAAGGCATGATCTCTCCTACCTTCTGAATTCTGCACTGCCAAGAGTCAGCTGTTTTGTTCCCAGACCTGTCAGTTTTATTATTGTACAGATCAAATATGAACATTAGGAAAGTTATTGTTATGAAAACTAAGTAAAGCTTTGGAAAGACTTGGTACAGATAGTTTAATATTTAATAAATACAGTTTTTACCTTTAAAAATAGTTGTCAAATTACGTGTGGTAAGGACAAAGGGGTGGCAGGGTGCTGGGAATGGAAAAACCTGGTTGCATTTTGTACTTTCTTTGTTGCTTTGTAAGTTTATATAAATTCATCACTTTAAAGAAACCAAAACTGGGAAATGTAAAGGTTAAGTAATGAGACTATTTACACAGGAACTCTCCTCACTGGACTTAATGCAGAAAAGTTCCTGATCCTACACCAAATGGTTGGCACATTAACATACACTTTTGCTTTCTTTTAAAATAAAAACTTTTTGATAGACATTCCTATGTATGTGTACATGTTTATATTATTTCTGACTGCCACTTTAACTGGCCTTTTCAGTTACTTGACCAGCTGCTGATCCTAACCACACTGGATTATCAGGCTTGTACTGTACTCAAAACTTTGGGTTCACTCACTTTTGTGCACAGGACTCTAGAGAGAGATAGATTACTGTTTGTGCTGCATTATAGTTGTGTCATAATTAGGGCTGCGTGGCCGGCCCGGTGGCGCACTGCTATAGTGCGCCGCTTGAGAAGTGCGGTGGCGCTCCCGCCGAGGGTTCGGATCCCACATACGGGCCGGCCGCTCACTGGCTGAGCGAGGGGCGGGAGCAACGCCGAGGGTTGCGATCCCGTGGCCGGTCCCGGTCCGGTCCGGGCGCAACACTGAGGGTTGCGATCCGTTGCCGGTCACAAAAAAAGACAAAAAGGAAAAAAATAATAATAATAATAATTAGGGCTGCGAGATTTAGCAAATAAAAACAGGACACCCAGTTAAATTTGAATTTCAGGTAATAATTTTTTATACTGTAAGTTTGTCCCAAATCTTGCATGGCATCCAGCATTTTATCTGGCAGCCCTAACCATAATGTACTTTTTTTATCACTTAAGGAGTGAGAATTTTAATGACCTAGATAAAAAATAAATTTTCATATAAACTTTTTTTTTTTTAATTTATTTTTTATTTTTTTAAAAGATGACCGGTAAGGGGATCTTAACCCTTGGCTTGGTGTTGTCAGCACCACGCTCAGCCAGTGAGCGAACCGGCCATCCCTATGTGGGATCCGAACCCGGGGCCTTGGTGTTATCAGCACCGCACTCTCCCGAGTGAGCCACGGGCCGGCCCCATATAAACTTTAGACTTCTTTCCACTTTGTGAAAATAAGGCTAGTATCTCTTCCAGTTCTAAAGAATGCTGCACAAGTTTAAAATAATGCATCACTCAACAATTCAGTAAAAAGCAAAAAAATGGTTTTGATTTTAAAATAATAGCACCTGATTTTTTTTGGGGGGGGGGGGGGTGGCTGGCCAGTATGGGAATCTGAACCCAGGACCTTGGTGTTATAAGGCTGTGCTCTAAGCAACTGACCAAACTGACCAGACCCATAAGCACCTGATATCTTAAAAGTACTTTATAAAATAAATGCATTAGAACTTGCAAACAGGTGAACAGTGGAAACAAATAATCTTATGTACGTATCACTACGAATAGCTGAATATAGTAAAAACAAATGAACTTTTCTATGTATTACTTCAAGTAGCTGAACACAGTAAAAATAGAAATATTTAGTTTTATCCTTCAGCCAAATAAAAAATGTCTTTTTTGGTTAAAAGGATCAAAATGTGGGAGACTGTGGATATTCACCAGAACCCTTCATTTTCTCAATCTCTTCATCTGTTTCTGGGCTGCTTGCTGTGGATGCTTTGTCCTGGTTACAACAACCACTACCTATTTTAGATGGTTTGTTTTGTAGGTCTAGCAGCCGTGATTTCTTGCATTGCCATTCATCATCTGCATCTAAAGCTTTACGCTTCATCATCTGTAGTGTACTAGATGGACTCACTTCGGGAACATCTGTGTATTCAACCATTAAGGTCAGGTTGTCTACCCCATCAAGATGGTGGTTGGTGTTACAGCTACTTTTAGAAATATGCCTATTTTTCAAAGAGATAACACACGAATGAAGAAATTCACAGTCCGGAAAAAAAGTCCGTAATGCTTGACAAAGAAAAATGTTCTCCTGAGGGTCTTTTTGGACATTCTTCTCTCCTAAACAAAACAAAGTAACAGTTCAACAGGTAATATTTGTTCTACAAAGCTTTTATAATTAGGTATTAACAAAGTCAAGAAGATTCTAACAACTATGTCAGATTATCTATAGTAAGAACAGAATAAAGACATGCACAATGCAATTCTAGTTTATACGCCATGATACTCTAAGAGAAAAGTTATGTTCTTCAATATCAACAGTATAGCATAGATACTGTAGTATCATGTTCTTTGTTCAATGGAATTTAAGAGTATTAACAAAATGACTATTAATCCTAAGACAGACAAATTTACCATAGCACAGTTGGCTCATCCATAATTCAAATCATGAGAATTTTTTTTAAAGCACAGAAAGTAGTGATGTATTAACATTTTACTTACGTTCTGCTTGGATCTGTGCTCCTTTCCTTTTTTTAATTTCTTGTTTTAATCTCTTTACATCTGTTAGTAGTTTCTCTACTGCTCGCTCACTCTGTTCCACTTTTTTGCATACACTCTGCAAAATAAAATAATTTAAGGGCATAGATAAAATTCCAAGTTTTATATTAAAAGTCTAGATTCACAATAACATAAAGTCCTTGATGGTATATAATATCAAATGCTATTTGCCTTTTATATATGTTTATTTTGTTATTTTCTGGAGGACCTCTATGCAAGCACTTGCATGCTGCTTTGTAGGTTATATCATGCTTTTCAGATATTTTAACTTCTCATTTATACACAGTTTTATCATACCAGTTATTTCTTTGATAATACGCAGGAATAAACTGAAATATTTAACTTGCTTTGAAACAAAAAATACTGAGATGCATAGTTACTGCAACTATTTAACATTAAGAAACTTACAATAAATGAAAACAAAAACAAGTGACTATATTTTACTGTTAATGAAACTACTTAAGATTTTAATTCTATAAGAGACACTACTTTTGAAAAGCAAATTGGCCCTATGTGTCATCAGTTTTAAAAATATGAATGCTAACAACCTTTGATCCAGTAATTCCATTTTGGGACTATAACTTAAGTAAATAACAAAATTTTACATAAGATGTTCCTTAGTAAAATATCAAATCAAACATAACTAATGTAGCCAGTTTTAGTGGATACTTTTTAGGATGTCTGCTCAGTTTATTCTTCACAAATTTGTTTTACCCTGACATACGAATTTGCCAGTAACCTCTATACCCACTTTCACCCTAGCTAACCCAGGTAAAACCAGTTAGATCCTCTCCAGGGAATTTGGAAATATTACCTAGCCAACTGGCAAGTCCTAATCTCTTAAAGAGATGAGATCTAAATGCAGGAGCTGTGGGCTGGTCATTCTCTTGTCTGCCAGTAGATGAAGAAATGGAAAGATTTGTAACATGCAGAGAAAAGCAATGTGCAGACGGGGAGACAAAGTTCTAGCAGCATTCCAATTCCTGGTTCCAATTCCATCCTGAAGCTCAGCTGCTTTCTGCCTACAGTTCCTGTGACATATATCTACATTCCCTACTTTAGCCTGAGTTAGTATTTTTAACATAAAGGTTCTAATATACTATACTATGAAATATACTGCCATTAAAAATAAGAACATGAATCGACATGAAAAATGTTTAATGATATGTCGAAATTTAAAAAATCAGGCCGGCTGGTTAGCTCAGTCAAGAGAGCACAGCCTTGTAACACCAAGGTCACAGGTTCAGATCCACATACCGGCCAGCTGCCCAAAGGAAAAAAAAAATTATAAAAACCATGACACAAATTTATATGTTGCCATGACTGTTAACTATTTTTAAGTATGTATACATTGGGAGAAACTGGAGAATATGGCAAAGTAAAAATAATTATTAAAATGGTAAGACTGGATGTTTCTATTTTCTAAAATTGCTATATTATCATTCATATTAAAAAGTAGTGTGTAAGATGTTTTAACCCTTTTTCTCTTAGTGTGCTCTATTGATGAATATGGTAGCCATGTACACCTCAAATCTCTAACTTGGGGAAGCATAGTTGACTAACAGCCCCACTTTTGGATCCACCACTGTTTGCTCTTAAGCCATACCTCCTCTGGGTTGTTCCTAGGCAGTGACGGAGTACAGTGAGGGTGTTACTGTAAAGTCCATGCCTGCAGAACAACTTTGGGGCACTTTGCTCAAGGACTCCCCATCTGCCTAGCTGAACTTTCTTAGAATGGCACCGCAGTCTGAGACTCTTCCTAACCAATCATCCTCCTATCCCCCTCCTCTCTCAGGGTCAGACTTGCACTGTGGTCTAAAGGCTCTTCCTGCCTGTTCTTGCTTACTCTCTTTTATCCTTCTCAGCCCCAATAAATCTTTTGTAGTTCTAATCCCATCCTGATGTCTACTTCTCAAAGGACCTGAACTGACACAATGAGATAGAACTTAATACTGTGGTAGGTGTATTGTTCCCAAATATTTGCTTCACTCTTTATCCTGTAAAAAGATTATACATCCCTGCTTATTGCATATGATGTGCTCTGGCAAAAGAAATGTGAGTGGAAGTGACATTGCAGTTTTGAGCAAAGTTTTAAGAGCTGTTGTGAATTTTCACCAGCTTTTTTGCTCTTTTCCTTTTGCCATGAGAATATGTCTCAAATAAGGGCTGCTTTTTCTGCCTGGATCCTGGAATTAAGGTGACATTTGGAACAAGGGTAGAGCTACAACCAAGATACAATGGAAGTGAGACTAAACCTTTGTTGTGAGCCTCAGATTTTGGTCTTTGTTACTGCAGCAAAAGGAATGCAATATAAACCTAATCAAAATGTCAGGTTATCCCTAGAAAATTTCAGTGATCAGTTTGGTATGAATTCCAGAAGTGTTCTTTAAGCATTTGATATGTTGACTTACCTTTAATTCCTCTTGTAATGAAGCATACATTTCATTTACCTTATGTACCTCCTTTAAAGATCCATCTTCTTTAAAAAATTCAGAGCTGTAAAAAATTACCATTTCCTCAGGCAAATGTACAGAACTTATTTTAATGACAAGGTGAAAAACAAGGAGCAATGGAAGATTCTTTTTACTGGCTTTGTAGGGTCCATAATTTTGTCAACCTACTAGTATACGGCAAAACCAACCAGAAAACCTAACTTTATCTATCTTCACATTAGCAAACTTTTTAGCCTCGTAAGTACTATCGCAAAGTCTCCCAAAAAGGGGGGGGGGGGTGTTAGGTATAAATACATAAAATTTGAAGGGGGGGGGGGAAAAAGTTCTTTTTTTTTGGGGGTGTTAGGTATAAAACAAAAAAATTTGAAGGGGGGGGGGGAAAAAGTTCTTTTTTTTTGGGGGTGTTAGGTATAAAACAAAAAAATTTGAAGGGGGGGGGGGAAAAAGTTCTTTTTTTTTGGGGGTGTTAGGTATAAATACATAAAATTTGAAGGAGGGAGGGGAAAAAGTTCTTTTTTTTTTTTTTGGCAATGGGGACAGGAGTCAACTTTAAAATTATTTTACTGAATTTAAGTCACCATTAAATGAAAGAGGCACCATTATTTTATGATCCATAAAGAAAAAAAGCAATGTGAAGAAGGGGTGGTTTTATAAAACATCCCAATTTCAGAGAGAAATTAAAAAATGTACATCTTAGAATCAATGAAATATGGTATTCTGTTTCTACACTGCTAAGCAGTGTATTTTATAAGGACACACAAATAAATAAAATCCAATCTCTTATCAAGTTTACACTCTGGTAGGTATCCTATAGTACCAGTGTTGCTATTTTTAACATTATTCCCTTAATGATCACAAAAAAAGTTAAGCAGCCTATAATATGAGTGAGTCTTGGCTAAAGTCTGATTTTTGTCCAATACCCAGTCTAATTTCATGCCTTTAATCTGAACTGCTGCCTTAGAAAATTATAATTTTGAGGCTAGCTACTTATTCTAACCTAGAATAAATATGCTAAAATTTGCAGGACATGCAACAATCCCCCTCTCCCATCTTTTTTGTATCTTACAAGTAGACAAGTGTTAGAAGTAGAAGTATGGAGAAAGTAAAAAGTCTAGTTTATTTGAGTAATGTATTCATTAGTCAATTTTCCTTTTATTTGTATTCTATTGTTGTTTGTATAATAAGAAAATTTCAAAAAATGAACAGGAGTAAATTTAGTGGGAAAGCAATTGAGGAATCTTACCTGTGTTTTTTTACTGCTCGTCTAAAACCAGTGGATGTACAGGAACCTGATACAGTTTTATAACCCAGTTGTTCAGACATGCCCAGGTTGGCAACCACTAAAGGTATCCTATGAAAAAGTCTGATGAAATAAAACTTTAGATTAGTCTACCTTTCCCCTACAAGATTAGAAAACAAACAGCCCCATTCATTACTGCTTACCTAAGATAGAATTTACTGACTTGAGACAACTGGCTTTTAAAAATTGTGAAGTGTGCATGGTATAAAATAATTGTGTAAAAAAAAATTTAATGACTATTTTAACTGATTAGTACATGTACAAAAAAGGCAGTATTAATGTTGAGATATAAATCTTCCATGAATGACAAAATTAATCTTAGTTGGTACTCTTTCAACTAATTCTTATATTCTATGAAAATGTAGCTTATATAACCTGTGGGGAGTCCTTGTTAAATTCACTTTGGTGGGCCATCAGGAACTACTTTGCTTCTTTGCATAAGTTATAGAAAAGCTATTTAAGTACCCAGGCTTATGTTCTACATTATATACCTTATCAGTCAGTATCTAAAACAAATATTTTTTTCCTCTTTAAATTGTAAATAACAGCAAATCTTCAGTGCCAGAATACAAGTAATCAATTCACATGGGCCTTCTGATTTTATCTGACCTTCAATCTCCCATCTATAATTAAGAGATGGTAAGAGCTACTTCAGAGGGTTAATGTGACAATATAATGCAATAATATATTAAAATATTTGATAAGCTACAAAAATACTATAAAAATATTAAGCATATTTTTTTATTAGCTTAATAGCCAGTCACTGACCAACATTTACCCTTTTTGAGGTTTATATAAGGCATGTTCCAGCCGATGAGTAGAGCAGATTTCTGTTATTATACTTGGTGTTAATAGCAGAAAAACAAGTTCTTGGTTTGAAAGATGCTCCTGTAAGTTTTTGTGAAGCAGTCTCTCTCGAAACGTCATGATCTGATCTGAATGACGACGGAATTTATACCAACCTACTACACTCTGAAAAATACAGAAAAAAATCAGATATAACCTCAATGGTAACTGATTATTATATGTCTTACTATTATAATTAAACAATAAAACCAACAATATTAAAAATGGATTTCTTAGTACTTAGAAAGATTTTGGGCACATATAAACAAAAAATACACTTAGTTATATGCTTTACTTTTGTATAGTATGCAAGCTGACTTACAGTTAAATTACTTTCCTTTTGGTTAAAAGGCCAAACTTTTGACTAATACAGATTAAAGGAAGAAAAAATTCTTAACTTCTTCCAGTTTCTTTTATGGCATTTACTATCATACAATCTTAATCTTTAGTCAAATTTAGATGAAAAAACTATCAATGCCACTGATTCACTTAATAGGCAATCACTTCCTGAAAACAAGTTAATTTCATATATTGATACTTGGTTTGTTAAAAAAGTTAAGCTAAACCCTATAGCTTTTACCTGAAATTTAAATAGGAGTGATATCACCTACTCCACAAAGTTGGCTTCAAGATTGAATAAGATCATGTGAAAGATTTTTTTTTGTAAACTGTAACAAGCTAAACAAATGTGGTGTCATTATTATTAAACCTTTTTTTTAATTGGAAAAATAATTTTCCTTTACTGAAAACTTAATTGTAACAAAGAGAAAAACAACCACTTTGATTGCTTAGAGATCTGTGGCACTTTCAGCAACTAAATTTTATATTTGCACATTTAAATTGAGGAAATTAAAATTACTTCTGTTCTTTTTAAAACAAATACTTTTTTGGGCCGAGCCCGTGGTGCACTCGAGAGAGTGCGGCGCTGGAAGGGTTCGGGTCCTATATAGGGATGACCGGTGCGCTCACAGCGCTCACTGGCTGAGCGCGGTACAGCCGGTCTCAAAAAAGGACAAAATAAATAAATAAAACAAAAACTTTTACAGGTACATTTTTTTTTTTTTGTCTTTTGTCTTTTTTCCGTGTCCGGCAACGGATCGCAACCCTCAGTGTTGCCCCCGTACCGGACCGGGGACCGGCAACGGGATTGCAAACCTCGGCGTTGCTCCCGCGCCTCGCTCAGCCAGTGAGCGGGAACCGGTCTGTACGTGGGATCCGAACCCTCGGGCGGGAGCGCCGCCGCGCTTCCCAAGCGGCGCACTATCCAGTGCGCCACCGGGCCGGCCCCTACAGGTACATTTTTAAATACCTATATATCACTGGAAAAAAAGCTCAAGCATTTTCAACAAAGGATGTTTTTTGACAGAAACTTCTTTTACTGAATCTACTTTTATTCTCAAATCAGGGATAAAAAATTTTAAGAGGAAAAAAATTGTGCCTTGGAAAAATTTTGTATTTGGGGAAAAAAATCCATTTTGATCATTCAGCAACTTTTAACTGAACACCAAGTATGCCATGGACAATTCAATTAAGTGCTGTATAGAAAATCATCCCTGCAGTATAAAAAAATAGTAACTGCAGCTAAGACAAATAACAGGAATGGATTAAGTCTTATAATAAATGGTACTAGGAAGGGGTGTGGTGGAACTATAGAAGAGAAAGAGATCAGTGTTAATTAGAGTAGTCAAGGAAGCATGATAACAAGATTAATTAATACTTTTAATGACTGATTATGTTTTCAGAGCACCCCTTTTGAATTTCTGGGAAGAACAAGCCTTTTCTTACCTGCTTTATGGGATACTATGAAGACTAATAACTGCTTAAAAGGTCTGTTTAAGGGCCGGCCCGGTGGCGCACTGCTACAGTGCGCCACTTGGGAGCGCGGTGGCACTCCCGCCGAGGGTTCAGATCCCACATACAGACCGGTTCCCGCTCACTGGCTGAGCGAGGTGTGGGAGCAACACCGAGGGTTGCGATCCCGTTGCCGGGCCCGGTCCGGTACGGGTGCGACACTGAGGGTTGCGATCCGTTGCCGGACACGAAAAAAAAAGACAAAAAGGAAAAAAAAAAAAAAGGTCTGTTTAAGTACTACACATTTTTAGGAGTTGAAAATAATGCATACAATACCAAAAAAACAAAAGGTCAATCAGGGAGTACCTTTTTGACACTTGATAATATTTTCTTCAGTGCTTGTTCATTCACTTCACCTGAAGAATTATAAAAGCTGTAAAAGCCAAAATTAAAAGATATTTCAAATAAGCTAAAAATATGAAAAATTTTATTAGCATTTCTAATTTTAGTTATTGCTAACTCAAACTACCCAACCAAAATCCACACACTTGCTTGCCTGACAAACTCCTAAAATAAATAGTAGAGAAAGTTCTCAAATTAACAGACTTAAAGTGGTAGAAACATGAAGTCCATAAGCAATGAAAAGGAAAGGTAAACTTGGGCATCACTTTTTTTTTTTTTTAACCTAAAACAAAACAGTAAACTATCCATTAAATACAGGTATTAGAAAGTAAGTTCATATAGCCAGTTCACAATTCATTCATAGTTTATTTACTAAAATTTTTTAGAATATTGATACACACAAAAGAGTGCATAATATGAACAAATGAAGCACAATAACAAAAGGACAATTTATTCACTGCTACTTCCAAAAGCTACGTGTCTTGGGAGGTAGTAGGATTTTTTGGTGGGGAGAGGTATAGGTTTTGGTTTAGTTTGGTCTTTGTTCTGTAGCTGGAATGTCCAAGATGTAAGAAGAATCAGAGATAATTCTAAAACACTCTGAAGGGTTTACTTCCAGCTTTCTTGCTCTTAAAATAAAAGACTGCAAATATTTCCTTCCTTCCTAGCAATTCACTGTGATCAATAATACTCTTTTCTATGACAGGGAAATGTTAAGCAAAACCTGCTACAAATAATATTCATTATAATAGGCTATTACTGATAATTTGAAAGTATATACTGGAAAAAATTAGTTATATAAAACTGAGAAAATATACCCAAATAGGCAATATATATATTTTTAAGTTACAAGGACTTCATTAAAAATTTTCCATTAATGGATCCAATCAAGATGATGGAATAGATGGTCTGCAGCATCACTCTCTCCCACAAATCAACCAAATTTACAACTATAAAAATGTAAAATCAGCCAAGCTGTGGCAGCTAGAGCTCAGGGGAAGAGAAGGAGAGACCTACGGAGTTCATGAAGGTGGGAAAAACCATGACAAGAGAAAGAAAAGGCTGCTCTGAGCATTTCGGGCTGCGGCTGCTTTAAGGCTCGAGCTGATGAGTGCATGGAGCAGGAGCCGGCAGAAGCCACAGCTGTGCCCTTCAGATGGAGTTAGTAGGGGGCAGCAAGAGAGAAGAGGGCCTTGGTGGCCCCCAGGACAGCAAGACCGCTAACAGGGTTCCCGTGGACCCACGCAGGAGTGAGGAGCCAGAACAACTGAAAAAAGGGAGCCACTCAGAGGCTGGTGAGTCATCACAAGGGACCAGCACAAAGCCCATCCCATGGGAAGTGTTTGCAGCACGGGTGGTGGGGGAGACGTGCCCACCAGGTGAACACTGGGACACAGCAAGGACAGCTGATCTGCCCCCCAATCAGCACAGGACCACTCAGAAGAGACTGGTCAGGAATGCAGAATTGCATGGGGTGTAGTTTGAAAAAACTCAGGCCCAGATCACAGATTCTACAGAACACAGATCCTCTGGGTCTCTGGAGAGCCGGAAGTACCTATAAGGTCAACCATTAAACCCTGACCTGCATAAAAAGCCTTCCCTAGGGAAACAGCAGCAAAGTAGCAATGTAAACAACCACACAGCTCAAGTACTGGTTCCCACAGGAAGTTCCTCCCGTGTTAAAAGCAAAGGACAAAAAATTAGTTCCGGCCCAGGCACACCACCAGCCTGGGAACTGAAGGCTTGAATCTGCAGACCGGACCCCAATCCCACTTCCAGGCAAACTGCACCAGTGCCTCGGGGCCAGCCTGGGGACCTGAAACATGGAGAAGGGGACTGGACCCCCCCCCCCTCCCACAACCAGGCACACCACACCAGCACGTTGGGGCCTGCCCAGGGACCCGAGGCAAGGAGAAGGGGATCAAACACACCCCACAACCAGGCATACCGCCAGTGCCAAGGAGCATGCCAAAAACAGCACCTCTACGTGGGCGGCCCACCACAGCCATCACAATAATCATGGCTGCTGCAAAAGTGGCTAGACACCACAGCCACCACCCAGACGGTCCGCCAACCACTGGAGTGCATTAACTCAAGAAGAGTCACCAGCAGAGACAAAGAAAAGATGTCTCTTTCCACAAAGCCCATTTCAGAGTGACAGAAGAAGCATCTGCTCTATGATAATATTGGGGGTCCTGATCACATCTCTCAGCATTGGACAGATCATCCAGGCAACAAGTTAACAGAGTAACCATTACTCTTTCAGAAGGAGAGAAGAAATCTAGGGCAATTAGAGGGGGAAGGGGGAGAAGTTGGACAAGGGGCATAAAGAATAATTACGATTTGTAACAATATATATGCTAGTAATATTGATTTAATCAACATATCTCAATGTTCAACCCCCAAAATATGTATAATCAATTTTGATTCAATAAATAAATTTTTTAAAAATTCCATTAAAAAATTTTAATGGGAAAATTGATAGAGTTCCACCTACCAAAGGGAGAATATTAAGCTTATTAAACAGATCCCTCCATTTTCCCTACTTACTTGTAGTTCCAGTATGGAAACTCTAAATACAAGAATTTATTCCTGTATTCCTCTCTAGCATGGTTCACTTCTGACCTTCTCAAACTGGGACATAAAGCAATACACCAGTATGTATAAGAAACCATAGGATAACGGTGTACAGCTTCTATGGAAGCCCTGATTTTATGTGAAGTTTTTGAGAAGACTGGGGGGTGAGGTGGCATTTTCTGTAGGAATAGATATATTGTGCAGCAGAATTTATGTTAAGCTGCATAATTTTTAAAAAATTGACTAAGTTTTATGCTTCAATGGGCTGTTTCCCAGGTACTTCTCCCAGACTTGAGGTAATCAAATTTCAGTGGAAAAGTTTGAGAAGCAATGCAGGGTTGGCAAACTTTCTCTATAAAAGGCCAGATAGTAAGTACTTTAAGCTTTGCCAGCTATATCTGGTCTCCATTACATATTCTTCCTCCTCTTTCATTTTTTTTTTTTTTTTACAACCCTTAAAAAATGCAGTAAATAGTGTTTTATTGAGGGCCATGTGAAAACAGGTTATGGGGATCTATTTTGGAAACCTCTGTATTAGAGATAAAACTGGGTATATTAAAGCCTATCTAGCTCGGACTCCCAGAAGTGTGTATTAGAAGACTGTTTTTAGGGCCGGCCCATGGCTCACTCGGTAGAGTACGGTGCTGATAACCCCAAGGCCACGGGTTCGGATCCTATATAGGGATGGCCGGTTTGCTCACTGGCTGAGCGTGGTGCTGACAACACCAAGCCAAGGGTTGAGATCCCCTTACCGGTCATCTTTTAAAAACATGGCTCACTCGGTAGAGTACGGTGCTGATAACCCCAAGGCCACGGGTTCGGATCCTATATAGGGATGGCCGGTTTGCTCACTGGCTGAGCGTGGTGCTGACAACACCAAGCCAAGGGTTGAGATCCCCTTACCGGTCATCTTTTTTAAAAAAAAAAAAAGAAGAAGACTGTTTTTAACATACATGTTCGCCTATGTTATTTCTAACGGGAGAAACAGCGCAGTATGCTGTTGGAACAGAACTCAAGAAATCCTGATTCTTCTAGTTTTTGGCCCTACCATTAACTACTTCTGTGGCTTTTATTAAATCATGAACTTTTTAGGCCTATTTATTTTGCTGTTAAATAAAAATGAAGTGTGTAGTAACCTTCTGAATGAGTCATTTCAGATGGTTCTCCTTATCCTCCCCCCCACCCCCCACCCCCTAGAATCTTGTAAGAGCTAAAAGGCCCAGGCACAGGTTTCTCATCACTGGATTAGATATTATTTTCAGTTCCAAGACTGTTATGTTGGTCTGATTATTACATAGTTGCCAAAAGATACTGGATCAGTTTTCACTGTCCCTCTTAATCTTTTACTGGTCCTGAGGGTCCCCCAAGGAAGACCTTTTTATGAGTATCCACTAAGAATGCCTCAGTCATTCAACAAATATTTTTGTATGTCCATTGAACATAAGGCAGTATAGGAGCTGTACCTTTTGCTGGCACAATTTAAGACCACACTAAGCCCTTTTTTGTCCTATCCCACAGACCTTTCTCACCTTAACCATATGCTCCACTGTAATTCTTAAACAACCTCAGAGATGTGTACACAGTATGACTGTAAGATAGTACTGCCGATTTTTCTCATGGGATTTATAAGAATCATAAAGCTATGATTTGTATGAATCATAAAGGTATTTCATTAAAACTACACCATGTTATGGTTACATGATTACATGTACTTGCTTTGTGAAAATTCATTTGTGTTCTTTTCTACATGTATGCTATACTTCAGTGAAAAGAAAAAAAAAATACCCAGTGTATTAGAATTAACAGTACTAATACTATCTGTAAGACTAACAGCACAAGCTTTTACCCTAAAAAAGCAATAAGAAACTATTGATAAGGAAAATAACTATAGATAAGGAAAATAACTGGTTAATGGGCAAAAGATAACACTAAAAAATATAAGTGAGGAAAGAGTTGCTAAAATAAACTAGAATAAAAGGGTAGAAAAAAGTGCTGCTATTGATGATGTATGAGAACATGTCACTCCCTGAGTTTGTAATATGCAATGAGGTGAACGAGTACAAGAAGGAAAAGCAAAACTCAAGGTAAACTGGTTCCTGGGAGAGGCAATGAAGACCAGCTAAAGTAAGCAATATAAATATAGAAAAAGAACTATTAGACAGGGTTGACAATGTACAAGTAAAAGTATTTAAAAAACTCTTTCCATTTTATTTAGTATCACCATGTATAACTCATGACTAAGATTTCACTTGGGACTGGCCAGTTACCTCAGTCGCTTAGAGCGCAGCCTTACAAGACCAACTTCATGGGTTTGGATCCCCAAACTGGCCAGCCACCCCACCAAAAAAGCCCCAAAAACATTATTTCACTTGCAGAGAATACTTTTCACATGGATCACTTACTTGCCCCTACTAGTACTACTACTCACCTAAAAAGCTGATAGCATGGAATGTATTTCTGAATGTCTGGAAAAAAATAATTTTTAGTTATTACATTAATTAAGTTAATAATCACCTGAATAACATACAATATTTGAACACTACTTTATGCCAGGAAGCACTTTATCATTGATTCTCATTTAATCTTCACAACAAACCTATGAGATAGATGCTATCATTCTTTTTTTTCCACCCCTTAGCTTCCCTTTTTCCAAACCTACTTTCCCTTTCAAAGGTAATGTTAACAGGCAAAGAGAGATTACATGGCTTGTCCAAACTAGTGATAGGACCAAAATTCAAACCTGGAGCTGAACTTGAACCACAATGCTATAATCGCTCTAAATAATGGTTTAATAACAGCAACACAGAAGATAAGTTCAAAATTACTACATTTTCATTGAGTTCTAAAAAGGTTATGCTCCAAATTTATCCAACTGATAAACGGTTGTTAAAGGGATTATTTTTTATTTTTAAGTAGCTGTTTCATAAAGGATTTGTCAGTGTTAACTACAGACTAAAGAAAACAAACAAGTAAAAAAACCAATGTCTCCTAAGAGGTGAGTTTTATTCTCCTGTCAATAGTAGTATCACAGCTAAATAGGAAAAGTGATTGTTCTCTTTAGACATTTTTCTTCTTGCAAGTGTATCTGTTGCCCAGATAGGAGAAATCCCTGTCTGAAGAAACACTAAATAGAAACAGTCTGTAACTGATAATTGGTAAAACATATTCTGGTGTACAGACCAGGGAAAGTATAAAAGTGATGAATATCTCATTAACTAAAGCAATGTAGTAATTTGTCAGTCTCGGATTTTGTCTGTTAGCCATCTGTGTTAAAAGTACATAATACAGGGCCGGCCCCGTGGCTCACTCGGTAGAGTGCAGTGCTGATAACACCAAGGCCCCGGGTTCGGATCCTATATAGGGATGGCCGGTTTGCTCACTGGCTGAGCGTGGTGCTGACAACACCAGGCCAAGGGTTGAGATCCCCTTACCGGTCATCTTTTTTTTTTTTCCTTTTTGTCTTTTTCCTTGTCCGGCAACGGATCGCAACCCTCAGTGTCGCGCCCGTACCGGACCGGGACCGGCAACGGGATTGCAACCCTCGGTGTTGCTCCCGCGCCTCGCTCAGCCAGTGAGCGGGAACCGGTCTGTATGTGGGATCCGACCCCTCGGCGGGAGCGCCTCCGTGCTTCCCAAGCCGCGCACTACCGCAGTGCGCCACCGGGCCGGCCCACCGGTCATCTTTAAAAAAAAAAAAAAAAAAAAAAAAAAAAAAAAAAAAAAAA